TCTTGCAGGGCCATTGAATTGCAATCAGAAACAGCTACTCTGAATGGTTTTCTCCTTCCTAACCCAGGAGACTAATACCGGTTTTGGCTTCAGTCCTGTTTCCCTGACTGGAATCAGCTAACATAGTTTAGTCATCAATGCTGGACCCTTCTCAGGCTTCATCATCGAATCATAGAAATTACAGCATAGGATGAAGTCACTCAGTCCATTGAGGCTAAGCTTTATGGCTCAGCTAATCAAAGGATAAGCTCACTGAGCAATCAGGAGAACTCAAACATGACTCATTTAACTTGGCATTTTTTAAAAGTTGCTGAAGCAATGAAAACAAATTGAAATTAAATTCTCTGCTATAAATGCTTTGCTGTCCCTGTACAAGCAAGCACCATGCAGAGACCAAATAAGTGCTAGCCTGAAACCCTTGGAAAATTAACGAAAATAAATTGAAAGTAAACCCTTCACCAGCCTTTCTTGACCCACCAACCTCAGAGAACAGATTTGCATATATTTCTGTAACCTGTTTCAATATACAGTTAATATGCCCTCAATTCCCATTTGTTTTACTTTTTAAAAAAATAATTAATGCAAAATTTACTTATACATTTTATAAATAAAACATAAATCAGTGCAGATGGGGTGGGGAGGCTCGAGGGGCCAACAATCAACAAACTCCTGACTAGTCCCACTCACTGAGTAAAGTTGGTGTCACACTGGGTACCGTGTGGTACTCTAGGTCTTTAAAGACACTTATAAATGCAATTTGGTGTTGTTGTTCTAATAGTTTAATCCATCCATAAGATATCACTTTGCATTTTAATGTGAAGTTCAATTATAACATAGAAAAAGAGGACTGGTGATGAGAGACACCGGCAGACATAAAAATAGACAACTTTGTGCCGACATTCAAGTTCACTACATTTCAAAGCAAAAAACAAGTGAGAACTTGTTTAAGCTTTAATAAATCTCTAATAATCTTCCCTATTCTCTTTAATTTCTACATGTTCCATGTCATTTGAAAAATGGGATTAACTTCCACATGTATGTGGATGACACTTAGTCCATCTCTTTGTCTCCACCCTTGACTCCAGGACCCCTGCTGTTTTGACTCATTGCCTATCGAACGTCAAGTCCTGGATGAGAGCTAACTTTTTCCTCCAGTTGAATGTTGACAAGAGGAGGCTCTCCTGCTTGGCCCCATCAAGGGCTTCTCACCTCAGACACTAACAGCATCAATTTACATGGATGCACACTCCACCTCACACAGCAAGTGTGTAATCTCAGGTCTTGTTCAACTCTCAATTGTCTTTTCAATCCCACATCGGTGCCTTGACCTGTTCAGTTTTCCCCCACCTCCGGAACATTGTCTGCCTCTGCACTTTCTCTCCCCTTGGACCACTGAGACCCTTATCCATGCTTTTATCATGTTCAGGCTTGATTATTCCAACTCTCTACTCACTAGACATCCCAAATCTTCCCTCCACACGCTGTAGAGCTTGTGTCTTCGCTTGCACCAGGCTCAGTGAGCCTATCACCCCCATCCTTGCATGGCTACACTGGCTCCCCATCCTGAGAGGATTAAGTTGAAGATCCTTGTCTTCATTTTGAAATCATTCCTGGTTTATACCACAAATGAGTCTGCACCCAAAACATGAGTAAATGGTACTTTGGGTAACCATGTGAAGATGCCATTACTCGTGGCCATAAACAAACCAACTGAAGTCACTTTTGGAAGTAAAATAGGCATTTTATTCCACATCAGTGAACATCATCTAATGACCAAATGAATAGTAGCAAAGCAAAACCAGCCACACATTGCCTTTCCTTGCACATCAGGTATGGTGCATTGCATTCCCCACAAGTTCTTAACAGAATTTGTTTCTTCCGCCAGTTAGATCAAGCTCTATCACATAACAACTTATATTTATATAGTGCCCTTCACATGCCTTGGAGCGCTTAACATTGGTGGAGTTTGACATCAAGCCGTGGTGAAAGGGAATGTGACTGTAGGCATAGTGAAAGAGGAATGTTTTTAGATGCTATCTGAACTTAACTTAAACTTAACTTAAAAGGAGATGTGAAGAAATAGTGGATAGGGTCATAAAAAGCCAAATGATTTTTAGAGATATGAGCAAAAAGGGTAGACATTTTAACTTTGAATGCAATTATGTTTTGCACAAAAAATATTGATGGGTGAAGGAATGATTTGAGTGATATATCAAGCAAAAATAATCGTTCTCCAGTTCTTGCTTCCTGAATAGAACTAACATTCTAATCTTCCTGTATATCTCTAGTGACATCCATTGCTCATGATTCACATTCATATCCTTAATGCACTGTGCGAAAAGTTGCATCTGTTTCAAGAATAATGGAACTGGTAAGTGAGATGCAAGTCAATAATTCCATTCAGAGAATGTTGTAAAATGTATAAACGGTTCTTGAGCACAAGAACAATCACTTCACTTTACAAATAATTACTCGGGAGCTTTTTCAGATTTTTCAATGTGACAAGTTGCTACAGTATCACAAATAATTCTTTCTTTTCGAGGATTTATGAAACCCTATGCTGAATTATTGCCTTTAGCACACTCCCTAGTAGTTTTTGCAAAATGCATCCATTCTTCTTTCTGCTGCCTTGGAATCCCAAATGATTTATAATTTGTCTCTTTGATGTGGTAAATTAACTGGTAGCATTGGGGAAATAAACAGAATATAGACACTATGTATGCACAAAAGCATAACAGCAGTTTATGTTCAATTAACTGAATAGTGAGTAAGAAGAGTTGTACTGTCCTTGGAATGAAATGTTAAACCAAGGACCCAGCTGTCTGTTTAGGTGGATTTTTGTTTGGAAAATGTATATTTATTTTAAATATAGTATTTGGTACAACAGAAATCCAAAACCAACACAATGTACAACATCTTCTGTTACAATTTTATTCCCTTTCTCCCGACACAAAAAATATTCTGTTGTTTACGGTACATTCCTTCACCGCACACAGGTTGTGCTCACGTTTTTTGGGACGCTCCCTTTAAAACAGTCTGGAGTCGCCCCTGTGTACATCACACCCATGTGCATGCCCGCACACACCCTCATAAGGAGCATTTGCCACTTTCAGAAGGCGCCTCAATGTGCACCGTACACGCACACGTTTACTGTACACACATTTTTGGGACACTCTTTGGTTACATCTCGAACATCCTTCTGTGCCCTCGTGTTTATTTCAGTCAGTTTTGGTGCGCTCGTGGGCTACCCGGTGGGTGCGCCCTGAATGGTTTGTGCCGGAGCAGCTCCTGCTGGGGTCAGGCCCCATTTGGCCTTTGCCGCGGTTGAGCCGAGCTTCAGGTTGTCCCTCAGTATATAGTCCCTGATCCTAGCGTGCGTGAGCCTGACCCTCACCGTCCCCTCGTTCTGCCAGGAGAACACCCGGTTTCGGGAGTGCCAAAGTGGCTCCTTTACCGAGTTTATGATCCTCCAGGCACACTCAATGTGGGTTTCGCTGTGAGTGCTCGGGAACAGACCGTACAGCACTGAGTGCCGTGACATCGGGTCCCCAGGGACCAACTGTGAGATTGTGGATGTTAAAGATTCATGGCCTTTTGGCTAAGATCAAGTGAAATATCAGTTCTTATCAGTTATTCCTTGGGCTGTTGTCACGGTCACCCGTTTTGTTTTCTTTGTTTGTCCTTTGTTTAAATATATTCAGTAGCACTTTAAACACTTTTTTTAAAAAATTAGAAAAGTATAGATAGAAGATAGGAGAAAAGAAACAAAGGAGGGGATGCAAGAAACACCGCTGCTAGATTATATTTGGTGAGATACAACATTCGCTTGGGATAACGCGACTTGTTGATAAAATAAATTTGATCCTAATAAGTAATATTGAGCAACTTGCTGTTATGTGCCAATAAAAGCTTTGTGGAATGTAGAGTTTGATGGGAAACAAATCAGTGGTCAGATGATGTTGATCTCAGATTAGAATTGTATGTTTTTTTTCTGATTAACTTTATCCACTGATAAAGAAGACAATTTCATACTTGAAGATTACAGTGTTTCAGAGCCAGGAGATGATTAGAGTTAGGGTATTATAATAATAATTTGGTAACTCAATCCACGACTGTTTGTGGGACACTGCTGTGTGTAATTGGCTGCCGTGTTTCGCCCACAAAATATACAGTCAATTCACTTTACAGCATATTCTGTGAAGGGCTTTGAGACATATCAAAGACATGATAAGGGGCTATATCAAATACAAGGATTATTATTATACGCTACTGCCACAGTTGTAGCTACAATCCACAATACCTCCCTATGCTTTGGGATGGCTCACAAATCATTGTCAGGACTACAGCATCCTCTGCAGGTAGGTATAGGAATATCACAATAAGGCATTCGACAAGATTTTAAAAATGAACCCACATCAAAATATTTTTTGTTCCGTAGTCCGCATCAAGAAGTCTCATTAACTTAGTACAATTTTGTACTGAGTCTGTAAATTGGAGTAGTGCGCCCTGCTTATCTAATTACAAGTTTACATTTATATAGCACCATTCATGTCAACAGGCTGCCGCATTTCATCCACAAAAACCCACACTTTACACACAGTATACTGTGAAGAGCTTTGAGACGTCTCAATGACGTGATAAGGGTCTATATCAAATTTAAGGATTATTATTATTATTTAGGATGTCCCAAGGTGATTTATTAGGCATAGGTTAGTGAGAACCAAGACATAGGGTTCCAAGAGTATGTGTTGGGATACTGCTAGTATAATCAACTAACATCAAAGTTTGCCATTGCAAATAGTATCTGGCAAGTTTCCCACTGCTTGTCCATCTAGGACCACCCACCCAGTAGGGCTTTGACTTGCAGGGTTAACAGGAGCCAAGTGGGAAAAATTCCTGCCTCCATTGACTGGTCTTCTCTATGTCCTGCTGATAAGCAGGCTGGCTAGTCCATCATCAACAGTAACCTGGATATAAAACATGTTACACAAAAACAAGAGTAGCTTTTAATGCACTTTATTTCAAACTCCAGTCTAGTTAGTATCACAAATGTAACATTTTCCTGAGAAAAAGCAGTCACAGTTTATAATGGAAAAATATATCCATACATTGACTGGCAAATACACTGAACAAGCAAAACTGTGCATGCTGCTGTCAATAGTAGCTGAACCGGTGTGCATTGTGCAAGCTTCTCAATACAATGTCCTGATCCACACAGTGATTCACTTATGATTTCTGATAGAACTAATTGTGCAAACACAGAATGGCCATAAAAAGATACTGCATTATCCTGTGCTTCACTGCACACACACACGCGTATAAACACACACACTCACACCTTCTTTAGCACTATCCTTACTGTAAATAGAATTTACAAGTGGACAAAAAATTAAGAAAAAATTAACCTAAAGCAAAAGCAACTTCTGAAACAATGAAGATGAGATTAATTGACTGCTTGTATTTACATTTATGCAATGAAACATGCACACAAAAAATGTCCAGTATTGTCTCCTTTAAACTGAAATGAAATCTAACAAAATGTAATCTATACTGAATTCCCTTTTTTGTTGGATGGAAATAAATGGAATGAAAATAAATTAAATTATAACAGGAATTCTTAATTTGATATAGCGCCTTCCATGGCAGAAAAACATCTCGAAGCACTTCATAGAATTTTACTCTAAGTGTAATGACTATTTTGTATGGAAACTTGGCAGATAATTTGTGCCAAGCAATGGTCTGCAAACAACCATGAAGTGAATGACCAATTTTATTTGGGGAATTATTGGCCAGGGCATCAGACAAACTTTCCTTTCGCACATATTTATGCACACAATTAAATCTGGAGATGGATTCGTAGAAGTGTTCAAATGCAGCGGTCAGTTCTGTAATCCAAAGTGAATTAGGAACATTTCAGAAAAGGAAGTTGAAATGAGTTGTTTGATAGCATTCTGCCAAAGCAACATGGATAGCAATACACTTGGCACAAAATGGGCACATTTTTCATGCATTTTTCATGTACAAGACTTGCCGGTCAGAAAGTGCATAAAGTATGTGCTTCATTCAATCTCCTGTTCAGTAATCTGTTCACTAAGGTTAACAGCCAACTCGAACATAGGTTACTGCTAGTTCTACAACTCAACTTTAATCAATCAAAGTGAAATAGGGTGTAAAATACTTCTTGGTATCACAGCTCTGCATTTTTCACCCCTATAATTAATTGCAAGAAAGAAAAAAAAACCTGAAATATAAAAAAAGGCATTTCTTCCTTATTTTTCATATTTCTTTAAAATAAAATACACAAAATGTAACATGAAAGTATTTCACTGCATCACAAGCAACTGTAGCGAACAGTGAAAGAGGTTATTATTCATCATGTACCAGCCATAGCTCCTGATACAGTCTATTTCTGACATCATTTTCCTCGTGCTCATTGGCACTCAACATGGTTTTGGATCCAGCTCCGAAAATTTCCTCGGCTCCATCATAGCCTTCATCATTTTGAAATCTTCCTGCCGAGACCATTGCTGACTTTAGTTTTCCCGGAGCCCTTTCTCCGTTTCGTTACTCGAGAGTCTGTTGAGGTGAGGTGTAATGAAGCAGCAGAAGATCCTTCCCCTGGTCAAAAAGAATTTTAAAAAATAGCATTTGGTGAAGGTATCCAAACTGAATAACCATTTTTTACCTATTTGCACATGTGTGCCATGTATGCACTGCTAGCCAAATAAACTTAAACATGGCTCCGTTTATACAGTTTTATTCTCATTTTAGTTATTCAAAAAAAGTCTCCACAAGCACACAGCTGCAGCACTGATTTAGCAGTTTGCTCGACAGAAGTCTACAAGTCTACCCTGCAAGTCTAGAAGTCAATCTAGCTAGAAATTTGTTGAATTACTTTCTGGCAGATCCATTAATAGTCACAAAAATCACAAGAGAAGTTTGGTATGAAGAAGGCCTTTCGGCCCATTTGATCTCATCCGTCCAGATCACCCAAGCTGTTTTTAGATGAGACCAGCATTCTAGCCTCATCCACTCTTCTTGGTAAAATGTTCTAATCATTAATTAGCCTTTGGGTAAAGAAAGACATCCTGGTGCCTGTCCTGAAATTGCCCTATGCAACTCTAAACCTCAGTCCTCTTGTTCACCTATCTCAAAGGATTTACCCTCTCCCTCAAATATCTCAATGTATTCAAAAGTATTGTTCTGTGTTTACTTTCTTAATCTCATTTTAAATCATTTACACCTCTATAAGGTCCTCTCCCTTTAAGAATGAAGAGCCCACTTGTCTAATCATTCCTCACCCTCATTGCTTTCCTCTGTACAACCCCCTAATGTTATGGCTATCAGAATTTTATGCAATGTACTAGTGCCTGACCAGTGCACTATATAGCTCGAATATGACATCTGGGGATTGGAACTGAACTGATTTAGTAATATAGTTCAGAATTGTGTTTGCCTTGTTTATTGCTATTTTGCCAGACATCTTTCTTGACAAGTTCTATTCCAGCCATGGAGTGAGTACATGCGTTTCCCATTCTTGCTTCCTATATTCAGTACATTGCATTTAGATTTATTGAGCTTTATTTGTCAGTCATCAGCCCCTGTCCTTTGGATATTTTTCAAACAGCTTTCTCCCTTCAAAAGGATCATTCTATTCTAATTTATCAGAAGCTAAATTGAAGGCCACAGACCATTCGGAGTATTTTTTTTCTTTGTCATTCAAACTTAAAATTCCTCTCAACAATGTTAACATTTTTAAAACAAATGTTGGTTGTGATGGGACTTTAAACCCATTTGTCAGGCACTGCTGGGGGAAGCATTGTATTAATAGAGGTGGCGTCCATTGGACAAATGGATATTAAAGACAATGCGAACAAAAGGTTTATACGTGAGATATTGAATGGTACAAGTTCAGTCCAATTACCTTTGCAGTATATTACTGTATTGTGTGTGTGTGTGTGGGGGGGGGGGGGAGGGGGGGTTAGAGAAGGAGTTGCAGAGTACCATTCGAGACAATCCTGCCCTTATCAGACATCATTACATGTGTAACTTATTTCCAATAGGTTGCTCGAAATAGCTGTCAGGAGATTTCTCCCTTTACTCAAGGTCAATTGTAGGGGGGGGGGGTGCTGTGAATTGGATGATTGATCAACATGGAATCAAATGGCAGACCTTCTTGGTCTGCATATTTCCAAAATTCATTGAATAAAACTGAACAAGCGATCAAGGAAAGCACCACTGTACGATTTTGTTTTGAATCATAATTTCGATGTGCAGAAATATACAGTGTCATGACAGCATCCAGGACAACAGTGAAGCAAGATCACAACCTGCAAAGCACCTCAGCCCTGTAAATAAGGACAAAATTGTGTACAGAAGTCCAAGTTACCCCTCCTTACTTTCCAAGGCAGTCAAATTCAAAAGTCTCATTTAAACTGCAGTCTTTAATTTGTCTGTAGAAGATTGACAACTACAGTGAATTGAAAGCTGTGGTGTAAACATTAGAATAAACAATGCAGGTAATGACATTATCAGTGTCACACCTGAAACCTTAGCTGGCCTTTCTCTTTGATCCGATTGCTGTGCAGCTCCAGTATTTGAGGGGTTTCTAAACGTGGAGTAAAAACAGTCTCCTTAGGACTGAGTTTTCAGTAGGCTTAAACTTCAGTATGATTCAACTTCTGCTGAGGTGTCTAAACACAGAAGAGACTGGAATCATTTCACATGGGATAATGTGGATAGTTCTGCACACACAAACTGCAGGTACCCTTTGTAAGTTAATGTCTCTCGGGTTGGAGGTTGGAATCACTGTGGATGTGTATGAGAGCGCTTGTGTGAGCGCCTAAAGATCTTCCTCTTCGACGGTGCCTATGGTCACTATCCCCCTTCCCTGGCTCAGCATCGGGCTCCGCCATTGTTAAGTGATCTTGGATGGCACCCAGAGTGGAGAGCGCAATATAAATGCAAACTTCTGATGTAATTCACAGCATTGTCCCACAAACAGCTCAGAGATAAATGACCAATTTATTTGGAAGATTGTTGGCCAGTACAATGGGAGAATCTTCCTTCTCTTTTCAAATAATGTCTCAACATAGAACTATGATTATAATGAATAACAGTAAACATTACAAACAGTGGAATTTGAAAGCAATGCAGGATATTTGCAAATGATCCAAATTATATTAAATTTGATTTAAAAGGGCGGGAACAAATCAAATAGAAATTGCACTCTTTTTTAAAAAAACTTTTTTTCCTATTTCAATTGGATCAGAGATTTGTGGGTTGAAGTCCCATATCAAAGACTGATACTAAACTGCAATGCTGATGGACAGCTATATTATTGGAGGTGCCGACCTTTGGATAAGACATTAAACCGAGGTTCCACCTGCCTGTTCAAGTGAATATTAAAGATCCCATGGAACTACTTGAAAAGAGAACAGAGTTTCCCCTGGTGTCCTGGCCAACAACCTCTCAATAGTTGGTCATTCACTTTGCTGTGGAAAAATTGGTTGCCAAGTTAGCCTTCAAGACTGAGATAGATAGATTTCTTATTGCAAAAGGGATTAAGGGATATGGGGATAAGGCAGGGTCAGGTTATTAGCTGGAGTTAGATTAGAAGATCAGCCATGATTGAATGGCGGGGCAGGCTCGAAGGGCCGAATAGCCTACTCCTGCTCCTACATGTTATGTTAAATGCATAGTCACCAGACTTTTTTGAGAAGTTGACATACTAAAGCATGATATAAAACTGCATTAATGCACCAACAGGCTGTCTCTCATTGCTGCTCTTTTTTGTCACTTACTTGGCACTGGGCAAATGACTGGTCAAGGAAATTAAGATTCAGAAGATGTCCCACACAAGTGAGAATCTCAGAGTACAGTTCAAAACACACTTCTCCATTTATTCAATCTTAAAATCTGAAGGTGTAATTAATTTCTAGCATCGAATTTCGAGCATCGTTTCACAATTTTTTTTAATTCAAAAGTTTAAATGTTACTTTACAAAGTCTAAAAATGAAGTTGTTAACATCATTGGTGTTTTTCTTGGTTTGAAAATTGTGCATCAAATCGTTTTTCAAATTCAGATTTAGAATTACTGGAACAATCCTTCACAAGTCCAGTCTCTGATTGCAACAGTACATCTGTACAAACACTGAAACCTGCCCTGAAGTTTCCTCTGGCTGTCAGAGGTGTCCAAGGAGCTCTAACTGGCAGCATCCTTTTGGATCACACAGAGCATAGCAATTAAGTGCACACATCAGCGCAGTTGGCAGACAGGCAACAAGCCAATTTGTTCAGCTAAATAACCAGTCAACTTGGATGAAAGGATACATTCCTGCTTCTCCCCTGCTATCAAGCAGTCTTACCAAAATAGTCAAAACATTTTCAGTAAGCCAACACCCCAAGGATACTCGGGATCACCTGCCACGTGAGGTGGAGTGGGTTTCGAAGCAGTGTCTCTTAAACCCCATGACTCACATGTCCCTTCATGTTTTGTGATGCCTTGCGATTGGACCTTTAAACAAATCAACAACACTGCACACCCACTTTAAAGCATACTTGCTTTTCTTTGATATCATTTCAATGTAGTTTGCCCATTCTCTGCAGCAGAAATGAGGGAATTAAGGAAGGAGTGCTGTTACTATGGATATTGCTGAACTCACTGATCTATTTTCTGAGGAAGGATTTGCTTTATTTGGTACTTCAGTCAGTTGCCATAATCACACTGCCCTTAGACATAAGATTTATGCTACCACTTACTCGTAGAATCACATCTCCCAAGTACTTTGAAAGCTAACCAACTAGAAACCTACCTACAGAAGCAACACAACGTGTTCCTATATAAATACACACCTTTAGCGAAGATCTCGGAATGTATCGGTGAGGAGTCAGGGCTGTTGATTGAGTCTTCGCACTCGGAAAAGGTCTAAAAGAAAAGAAAATAAATTCCCCGGTGAAGCCAGTAAAAAAAAATGTTCAGGAATGTTGGAAACCAGAGCAGCCACAGGCTTATGCCATTATGTTCCAGCACTGAACTCATGCTGACACATGATCGCCTTCACTTGTGCTTTGAATAATGAACGCTCGCCCCAGCATTTCAGATTAACATTGATCCAATTAATAAACGCTAAACAATTACATCTCCTACTGGTTGAATGTCCTTCTGACACCAAACCCCACTCACAATGCCCGAAGTCCCCGCCCATGATACACAGGCTAACAGAAGAGATTGTCTCACAGACACAAACTTGTATTTAAAAACTTACCTTGTACCGTTGTCCATAATATTCAGCGTACCAGACCATTCCATAGAGGCACAGGAAGGTAATCAAAGCCTGGAAAGAATAAGAAGCCTTTTCAGATGCTGCAGCAACTCACCTTTTATGGCCTGACACCAAATACTGTAAAACCCTGCTTTGTTGGCATTTCAATAATGAGGGTAACTCTCCATCTTGCTCCTTCTTCCGCCTATTTATTGCATTTGAAACACCTGCCAATTTTGGAGTTATTCCATACGAGCAGCTCCTTGCAGAGACAAGCAAAAGTTCCTACTAGCTGAATGCTAACCATTCAGTGATTGCTTGCACAAGAGCCTAACAATTATCCCCAAATCCCACATGGTTTATAGATTTAAAAATATTGAATCTTGCAGATAATCGAACTCTGTTACATTAACCCTCTGGATTGCTGTCTGTCCTGATGTTCTGCTGCTCCTCAGGGAGGAATTCCAGCTCGTTAGTGGGACACACATCCACTTACTTGTGGGATATTTACAAATCCTGGTACAAATCCAGCATTTTAGACCCCCGTTAAAGTCTCTTGGAAAGGGATTCTTATTAAAGAAATCAGTTTACTTATATAATAACAATTCTTTCCTTGAATTTAATATAGTGCCTTCCGGGATATACTGGAAAGTGTAGTGACTGTACATTTTGCAGGCAAACCTGCCAGCCAACTTGTGCCCAGCAATATCCCACAATCAGCCATGAAGTGAATGTCTAATTTTATCTGAGGAAATATCTGTTGACCAGGCCACAGGGAGAAATTCCCTTCTCTTTTCAAATGATGCCATGGGATCTTTAATATTCACCTGAACAGGCAGAGGTGTCTCAGTTTGTCTCATCTGAAAAAAACGACACCTTCAACAATATAGCAACTCACAATACTACAGTAGAAAGTATCAGACTCGTACACTATGAGGTTGTTACAACAATAAAACTATTGCTGATGCCCAAAAAGGTTTATTACTGAAATGTGTTTTCAGCACCAATACATATGCACATAAAACCAATTCAGCAGAACTGAAACACATTTGGGCAAAATTGTCTGGCAATACACTTCTTTTTCTTTATAAATGTCATTAATTATACATTTAACAGCGCAGCATGAAATAGTTTACCAATAGTATCACCCACAGAGCATAGTTGTGTCCATAGCTTTGGTGACCTAATAAAATCTATTAAAAAATATTTGGACATATACCAACTAGATGGAAGCAGCAAAAGTCACCAAATGCTTTGAATTTATGAAAAGGTAAAATAATTAACGGAAACGCCCAAACCAAGCTGTTCAAATAGATCATGTGGCTGGAGACAGGGTTTAGAAGAATAATCAAAATCTGCCATTAGAGGCAATAATATCAATTTATGTCATTACAGACATTTATTGGGTCTCGTCTACTGGGAACATGGTCATATGCTTCCCTGCCAAATGCTAACAAAGGCAATCCCAAAATGGCAATCCTTTCACAATCATTTATCTTCAAGTGTGGTTACATGAGTCAAATAAACATTTGTCAGCCCCTGACATATCAATATTCCCTGGACATCTTATATTATGGTTTTCCTCCAATTAGCGATTGTGGTTTACTTTTATTGCGTCTAGAGTCCAAATAAGGATGACCTCAGATATAGCACAAATACCTTGTGCATCTTAATATTTCAAAGTGATAGGCTTTGTTTAGTCAGCCAGGTTTCGGACAGACTTAAAAACCCATTGTCTTGCTTAAGAGCATCCAAATTAAACAGAGTGCACAGCACTTATGCATGGCAATTTCATCATGTCTGGAAAGGATTGCACACTCTTCCCCAGAAGGATGAATCCTGCTGACATAATTCCAAAAAGAAGTAGACTAAGGTTGGTGAGAGCCAAATGTAGGGACTCCAGAGTATGCATTGAGGAACTGCTGGAATTCCATCCAACTAGAGGTGCACAGCTTGCGACAGAGTATTGTCTGGCAAGTTTCTCGTCACTTGTCCAGTGAGAAACACCCTACCCATTAGGGCTTTGGCTTGTAGGTTAACCTCCAAGTCTTGCCGACAAGCCTGGCTGGCTGGTTAGTCACCAGAAATGCCCTGCAGGACTGTGGACCTGCCTGGCTCAGGAGCCAGACTATGGAGGACCAAAAACTCCCTGCAAGCTTCCTGGTGAGCTACACAACTTAGCACAAAGTGCATTAGAGTACTGCCACCATCCTCCTGCCCACACATTGGATACACATCCCTTCCCATTGTGGGATGATTCTAATAGTTGGGAGTAGAGTTGGAGCAGTAGTTGCTTACCTCTCTGAGGACAATCAAGTTGGATAATAAGTCTTGGATATATGAACATGGATTCCTAGGTAACGGCTTCTAGCAGCTGTCGTCCCAAGCCTTAGTTTCCTCATCAGCTATTCAATGGACATCTGCCTTCAGTGTGGTAATGTGCCAGATACCTTGACGTTCTAGAGGTTCAAGTCCAATGCCATGTACCAGGATTACTCCACTTCCCCCGCCCATCCCGCCCGAACATCAGCGGTCGGGCCTTCAGCCTCTGCCCCCACCCTTTGGAACTCCATTCCACATTTCCTTCGCCTCGCTCCCTCCCTTGCCTCTTCCAAGGCAAGTGCCAAGACCCTCCTCTTCAACCATGCCTTCGGCCACCGCACCCCCCACCCCCGCTCGGGTTCAAATCCATGACTGCCCAGCTCCCTGGGACGTCCTCCCAAATTGAAAGGTGCTACACAAAGTAATTTTGTATTGTATTACTCAACACCGATAAATCCAGCTCCTTGTGTGAGGGGATTTGGCAAATGGATGTGTCCACCGTGATACCAATTCCATCTCTAGGATGTCTAGTGACAGATCAGTGCAAGTTGAAAGCCTAAACTTGAAAGCGTGTCATGCACTATTATAATCCACCCTTGGAATCTTAGTCTTTCACAACAGACCCTCAGACTAAAATACTAAAGCCCATTTTATTCTAAAGACCCACTACTTGTTTCATTTAAAAGGCATAGACCCAGTGCTACAGCATATCTATATATGCACTGCATCACAAACTGAAAAGTTTGTTGTTTCCCCAAAGACAAAACTGAAAAGAAAAATAACTTAATTAATAATAATCGTTGCGTTTGGTATTACGCTGTTCCCATCAGGATGTCTCAAAGCGCTTCACAGGATTTTACTGTGAAGCGGAGTGACTATATTTGTGGATGAATGCGACAGCCCATTGGCACACAGCAATATCCCACAAACAATCATGAAATGAATCACCAAATTTTATCTGGGGAATTGTTGGTCGGGACACAAGGAGAAACATCTTTCTGTTTTCGCAGGGTCCTGGGATCTTCCCTGGAATGTATATTCACATTTGGTTTGGGATAAAAGGTATGGGGAGAGATAGATTGCAGAGCTATATGACTGCAGCACAAGTTTTAGCATTGCTAACTGTATTTTTTAACGCAACCATTCAGCATGTGGCTCACTTTTCTGCAAGCAATAAAATTTCCAATCAGGAAATCTACTGAACTGAAAAAATTATATTTCTGCATTTCAGTACCTATGAAGTGTCATTTTCAGAAGGCTTGAATAGCTGAATAGATTGAAGCAGTGAATAGATTTACAATGTTAAAATATTTTTAGCACCTTTTGAAAAACACACCGGAATTTCACATTAATCCTTACATTCGATATCACACCCCATCACATCATCAAAACATCTCAAAGATTTACTGTGTAGTGTAGTGTCTGTGTATTTGTAAGTAAACACAGCAGCCAAATAGCACACAGCAATGTCCTACAAACAGCCTAGCAGTGAATGACCAATTTTTATCTGCAGGATTGTTGGTCGGGACACCGGGAGAAATTCCCTCTCTTTTCAAATAATGCTTTGGGACCTCAACATCCACCCGAACAGGCAGACAGGATCTTGGTTTAACTTCTCAGCTGAAGGACAGCACCTCTGACGATTCAGTCCCCCGCCCTTCCCCCCACCAAGAATCCACTGGATTGCTCAAAACTAAGTTCAAAGACCTTATGTGGGACTTTCAGACTCAGAGGTGAGAATGCTAGCAAATGAGCCAAGCCAGTACCGATACAGCCTTACCTCACAGATCAATGTTTGGTGGTTTTTAAAAAAATAATTACTCTGAATTTGTGAAACAGCTTGCTGTGTGCTGCAGCTTTGGTATTGAAATCTCACCCAGTACAAAGAGACTGCAGATTATAAAAGTATTTAATTACTCATGCAGTACAAACAATAAAATCGATTGTCTTCTGGAATGGAAGCTTTAAAGGGTTCAAAGCATTTCATATAAATTAGATTCACAAGCAGACAAACTGCATTCAAAAACTAGTTTTTAAAAAGAAAAAAATTAAATACACAAGACTTTTTTTTATATATATATATAAAAAAATCTGAACTGCCGTATATCTATTTCTGGAGGGTTAATCCCGAGAGAGTTTGTATTTTGACTGTCTGTCTGATAGCTTCCTTAGATGTATTGAGGCTGCAGTCATGAAGATCATTATGGTGAACAGGGCAGCCATCTTTAGAAAACCAGGAGGTCACGGTCAACATTCCAAAAAAAATTAAATTGGAAAAAAAACACAAAAAGTATTTAGAAAGATCAAGATAAGTTTAGACTTGAAGTCAATAATAGGCTAGTTCCCCTCCCCCACCCACTAAAATGGCAACTAGTTCCTCAGAAATGAGCAGGTAAGGCATGGAATATAATCGCTAATGCTCGGCCGGGGAACCCGGGGACAGNAAAAAAAATGGGATTCCATGCTATTATTTTTACTTTTTTTTAAAAACACAATTTTTTCCCAACTAATTGCAACCTTTTGAAGGGTAAAATAAACTCATATTTCTAAAGGGGCGGACTTGAAGAATTGGAGCATTTCTCAATTTCTAAACCGGAAACTACTTTTTCTGAAAGATCAAAACAAGTTATTTTTAGAACCAAAAGCATGGCAAGTGAATGGAGTCTTGACACCACGTGAAATTAATGTATGGGAAGCCTGCAGGGAATTAATCACTTAGGTCAATAAGGAATAATGTTTCACATGGCTGGGTTTCACTTCAACTTGGTAAATTGTTTTTTTTTGCCTCCCTTTTCCCAGGAATCTCACTGAGGCTCAAGCCCTGGTTTATCTAGGACAAAAAAAAATCAATGCTCCTGTTCTCAAGTTATATCCCAAACCCCTGCTGCTGGAAGTATGCATATTGGACAGGGAAACAATTGGGCTCAAATAGCCCACCAGCACTGAATGGGGGGTTATTTAACATTGATTGCTAAATATAGTGACCTGATTTCAGTCTAAAGTTGCAGCAAGAGGGAAAAAGAATGACAAATTTTAGCATTTAACGTGGTCACAGTTCCCACATGATGAATAATCACTTGAGGGAGGAGAATCTGCAATAATATACCTAATATCTCTTGCACTTAAATCCAACCCAAAGATCCATCACCATATCTGGCTGCCGTGCACCAAAACCTACCACTCCATCCTCGCAAGGTGAAACAAACTATTTATGTAAATATAAATTTGTACAGTCTCTAATGTCAAAACATCTCAAAGAGCTTCATAAGTAATTGCTATCAAGAGCTGAAAATTTCGGGCAAACGAAAGTTCTAAAGAATTGTTCCACTTTCTGTTCCATAAACTTAGGGTCAAGTTAAATCTCTCTACTCTGACAATGGGCCTGGAGTTCAATCTTAGAAGAATACTCTTCATCTCACCCAGCTGAGACTTCTTTCTGAAGTCGGCTGGTAATTATAAGTATTTACGGGGGGGAGTGGCTGGGTTCAGACAGACAGAATGGGTCTGGACTGACTTTGAACAACTCAAGAAGTGAAGGAACTGTATGTGAACTCACAATAAAGTACAGAACTTTTCTCCCGATCCCTTCACATTTCAACAGTTTAGCAATTGTTTTTTCAAAAAAGGATTTTGCAAGAAACTAGTTTTAGAAAATAAATAATCCTTGCACTTGATATAGTGCTTTATATCATCTGAACTTCTTAAAGCACTTCATGGGGTTTTACAGTGAAGTGCAGTGACTGTGAATTTGAAGCCACATGTCTACGACTATACAAAACTATTTCCACGATACCCAATGCCAGAACAGACACAGGACACGTTGGCAAATGGAGGGTAAAGTTCCTCCTATTTTATTCCAACAACGTGCTTTAACTGCAACCACAGAAGAATGTTCCCTACTGCACCAGTGTGCTATTTCCAGTTCCCACACCCACTATATTTATAGTTTGTCTAAGTGGGATTACCAGTTTAATACCAATCCACAGACAGGCCATACCCTCTTGCCTACACCCACTAGGACATCCCCAGGCTCCTACACTCAATCCAGATCCACAGGTTGGCACTTAATTGACCTTTTTTTAATTAGCAAAGGACATTAGGGAACCGGAAAAGGCCATTGAGTTCAAGCCAATTTCACTAAAATACCATGTACAATACAACCTTTCCTACTGTGGACTCTAACCTATCCCTGAGGGGTCATTAGTGGGGGGCACGCAACCAACCACAGGAGAAAAACTTAAACATTTCTCCCCCCCACTCCCCTTTCCCAAGCCCACAGAAGCAAAGTTAAACTTCAGATTAATCCAACCTTGCTACAAACAACTTAGACCAATTGGAAAAAAGAGTTAATTAACAAGGATTGGAAATTCTACCAGTGAGGAGGATGGAAAATATCCCAATTTACAACAGATATTAATCTCCAGACTCATAGAACAATAGAAAACCAAGAGGGTGGAGAAGCCAACTTATAGATATACAATTTGTAACAAGCGATTAGGAAATGTTAAAATCTATTTAAAAAAACTGAAAGCCAGGAACTTTGTTTCTGCACATGGTGGAGGGAGGGGGGAGAAGAGGAAACCCAAGAGCAAAGTAGAGTTGGTGGGGGGGATCCTGGCGGCTGTATAGAATGGGAGCCTGGCAGACAGTGATGGAGTGGGAGGAAGTGGAAAGAGAGCATGGCGGAAGAGTGGAAAGCAGTGGAGTCTGAGGGAGAGCAGGAGAAGCTCCTGTAACTAATCCCAATAATGAGCATCTAGACAACATTCCACTTGCTTCATTGGTGCTGATCACAGGCAAAAGAGTTTGATGTGAACAGCACTCACTTTGGGAAAGCCCCAAATGGCATATAGCCTCACCCGAGCTTGGCTCCAACTTGATGAGCGAGCCCTGATTGACAGGCTGCCGGCATCTCCTGAAGAAAACGCTGTTTACATCACAGGCTGTTTTTCACTCAACCGTGATGCAAGTAGAGCGCATTTTAGGCTCCAGTGGATCAGAAAATAATGAAGACCCACGATGAAGGGAATGGCTAGCCTTTAGTTAGCAACCTCTGATCATTCAATATGGTTCGTTATAGTGTACAAGGTCAGGTGTGGAACAAGCTTCGGGTGAACTGTGGCTTGGGGTCAGAGAAACCAGGGTTCTAATCAGTACCCAATGACCATGACTTGTTGTGTCAGAATCAATTAGGATTCAGATAAGCTGTAACGCCCATGAACTCAAATACTTACTGTCCAGGCTTCCAGGTAAAGAATGGGCACCCAGAGGGTCCCCAGCACTCATGGAACTATACGGGACAACTAACAATAGCAAGAAAGTAGGGGAGAAAATTTGAAGGGGGGGGGGGAGTGAAACAAAGGAAAAAGAGAAAAATGCACCTGAAAATTTTTATGCAGAATTAATAGGATATATCAATAATTAAGTATTCTTACCATGCACACAAGCCAAAGAATGACGTACAATCCCACGGTCTTGGAGAATAAGTCTTGACCAAACTTAATGCACACAATCGCTTCCAGAAAGGCAATGGCACTGTTCACATCAAAAGAAAAGTTAAGTTAGAGTTAACTTATGATGTCTGAATGACAGCCAGTTCTGGGGTCAAACAGCCTTGAATTGGAATTTGAGTACCACCCCCATCTCCCCGTTGGCTCTGTGAAATTATATAAATGTAAAATTATTGTTGCAGTTGGACATCAGGAAATGCACTTAACATTAGGAAGTCCAAAATACACAAGGATGCACATCGGAAAATCCACTGAATTTTATCAAAAGCCAAATGAGCACCAATTGGAAACCTCAAAGTATTTATAGTGATCACTAAGATAATTTTCAGACCTAAAGGCTAATTGGTTTTCTTTGCATCACATAAAACAGAGCAGAGTGGAAAGAATTATTCAAATCCGGATTGGATAAGAAACATTTACTTTCAATCTCCAGGGAATCTGTATTAATTTAAAAACATACAGCCACAGCCCCAACTCACAACACTACTGCCAATGCTGTGAATCAGTTTCCCTTCCCCTCACTACACTAAGCTCCTGGTAATAGCTGTACCCGTGAAGGCATCGCGGAGGGAAGGAGAAATAGCATCAATCTGCAGGAGGCTTTGCCAGGCCACTTTCCTCAGCATCTAAGGAGCTAATGCTCCTGGAATAGATGCAAGAATCTAGCTGATCAAGTTTGCCTTCCTTGACCTTGTAAACGCTCTAAGACGCTACACTGCGGGGAAGGCGCTATATAGGTGCAAGTTGTTGTTGTTGTTTGCTACTGGCAAGAGTTTTTGTTTTGTGTGAAAGACTGCCAGGATGCAAGAGGGCAACATTTGTCAAAGAATTTTCAATGCACCTCAGTGGTATTTATCATATAAATAGGGATCTGGGTTAACAAACAGCCACAATAGATGAAAGGCTTCCCTCCAATAATGTTAAAAGGTTCTAAAGTTGATAGGCATTTTAGCTTCTGGTGAATTGTCAGTTAGTCTTAATTTTGCAGGAAATTACACCCTTTTTGTTGATCTTGGTCATAAAAACGATTAGGAAATGTGGGAAATGAAAATTGTACTGGAGTTCTCTTGTTCCTGTAATTGAGATACTATTGTATTATTGTAGAGCTGGACCCAAGCCAAGAAAGGCCTAGGAGTCTTCAAATATCTGTATTTCCGGAATAAAAACACATTAGATTTCCAGTGATGTACTCTCTTTATGGCGTTTATTGATCAGAATTAGGACTATTTAGGCCACATTTGAAATCGGAAAGCAATGAATTTCATTCCTGTTTTTCATTTGATTGATGGAAATACCGGAATCCCAGTCTGTTTTCAGTGCACGAAACACAGAGATCAGCCAGCAGAGGGTGCTAAGATTGTAACCAAGGTTGTGATTCCTATTTTGGAAAACTACAGTACTTTCTTGTACACCTACACCCAAGATCATAAAAAGATTTGGGTAAAGGTGCTTTGGCCCATTCAACCTATTTTTCCAGACTATCCATCCCACCATCTTCCCGTTATAGATAGAAGTGTTTTTAAAGGAGTCCAGGATCCTGAAGCACAGCAGCCAATTATGCACAGCAGTATCCCACAAACAGTTGTGGGTGACCAAAATTATTATTATTTTATTTGAGGAAATATTATTGCCAGAAAGGGATCCACCAATCGAATAACAACCGCGTTCTTACTTACTGCTAGGTAAACAGAGGCACGTGGATTTAGTAAACTTGCCTAAGGTTTCGTCCCACCTGGGAATCAAACCCGGGTCCTCTCGATTGCGAGGTGAGCGTACTAACCACAACGCTACCGGACTCCAGACCCAAAGGAGTGAAGGAGTTAAGTTGGGTCACTTTGGAACTGAGCTGGTTCCTTTGTGTCTGACAGTTGAATAGTAGAATCAATTTGATCCTCTATGGCGTCTCAGTAGTTAGTTTTCTTTGAGGCTGGACTCCCAAGCTGGTTAACAGATAAAGCCAGCCTAACTCATCAGCAGGACCTGGAGGGGCAACTGAGTAACTGGGGGCAGGGATTCTTCCCAGCTGGCTCCTATTAATCCTTCAAACCAAAACTCATACACACAAGGTGGAACAGGCTGACTGAGCAGCAGGAAGTTTACCAGACAATGGTTGCAATGTAAGGTATAGATTTTCTGGTTAAACCCCAACAATATCTCATCCAGTGCACACTCTGGGGTCCCCAAGCCCCAGCCCTTGCCAACCTCTGCCTAAATGCTCTAGGATTAGATGATCAGGGTACATCCTCCACATACCATAGCATCCTTGTTACTAGATTCTACTCCCCTAAATTACTCACATCACATCTGTATCTGCCTTCCACTACATCTTTCTCTCTGTCTAAGTGCTGCCTTTAAACCTACCTCTTCAAACACACCTGTGACCACTTCCCCCTTGCTCCATGTCCAACCCCTTCCTTGTGAAGCACTCAAAGACTTTACCTGACATGAAGAGCACTGCATAAATACAAGTTGTTGTACTATTTTTTTAAACCAATTGTTAAAAGAAACATTTTGGAACAAAAGTGGTACGAAAGTCATCTTCTTTTTAAAAAAATGAAATGGAGGGAGAAAATACTTACCCAAATACCCAGCATTGAGTCCCAACCCGTTTGCACTGAGTGTCTGTGAGATATGCATAATACTGTCTGTGAACAAGACACAAGTAGAAATGAACAGTTCCTTCATATGTTACAAAAAGCATGATGTACAAGTCAAACCCTTCTTGTTTATATAGATTGGCAGATCGAGATTTCATTTTGTTTTAGTTTGAGTTTTAAAGGAAATGAGTTCGTGAACAGTTCAGGGCCAATATTTGCACTGAGATGTACAATTACCATGGAGTTACCGAGGCAATTGAACGGACATGAACTTCATCAACTAGCCTTTTGTTTTCAATGCAAATTAGTTGAAAATGTCTACAGCGGCAATTTCTAGTCTAATTATGTGAATAATTGAGTACCACCAGCTGGACCCAATGGCTCAGTGAGTTTATCCAGCAAATGGCTGAAAGAGCAAGGAAGTCCCAGAATAAAGAGAATGGAAGTCCAGGTTTGCTCAAACATTCATATATGGTACATGGAATTAGCTGAATTCAGATAAGACAATATGAAAGCTACAATTGGCTTCAGCAGCCAGTTTGGGGGAGGGGAAAACAGGAGAAATCAACAACTGGGTGTCCCACTCCACGTGGCTGGTAGGTGGGGGCATCAGGTGATGACAACATTTGATTCACTTTGAGGATTTCTTCTTTTACCCTCACCTAAAGTAGCTTTCAATGCCCATTACACTTCTACAGACATTAAAATAAATTGTCCAAATGACAATCATGCATTAGCAGGTTGATGTGCCACAGGTTTAAGAAACAAAAGTTGCTTTGCTTTACCGTACAGTTGGAGCTGTGATCACACCAATGAAGAGGATTCTACCATAACTCAGTGGGTGGCAGGCTTGGAACACAAATATGTGTTTCAAGAAAAAGGTATTAAGTTCCGTCAGCTAAATAAGAACATTGAAAAAATAGATACAAATAATTGTAAGATTAATATTCTCAAAACACTTCAAATTAACTTTTTTTTAAAACAGTAGTTTGCTATCTTATATATTAGTTTATACTAATAAAACGACAATGTCTGGCTGCGCTTCAAGAAGGATCTCAATAACCAATTGACGTAGAGATATGATTTATACGTCATCGTAAAGGTCTTGCAACTGGGAGAGACATGGGCATATTTGTTTTCAGGTATCTCATTTCATGAGTTATATTCAGTTTTGCGTTTCTCACTGCAGTTACACCTGGCAGCCGCGCTGGTTGACCGTGGCGCTGTGGCATCCTGCATCACAGTGCACACATGTAGCCAAGAAGCAGGAACAAAATAAAGAACACAGACAAAGCTAAGCAATGGAAACAACAAAATTACATTTCTAAAGCGCCAAGCCCACCCACTGAGTTCTCCCACAGAAGTCCTCCCACAGGAGTATAGATAAAGACAAAATCTCTCTCTATGTGTCAATCTACATTCCATATTGGATTCTTTGGTTGCAAGTGTTGCTGGTACAGCTAGTATGCCATATACACAGAAGTTCAAAAAAGAAGCATTTGGCACCTCTCCCCTAATAATTAAAAATAATATGCCTTCATTATGATTTAGCTTGACTGTGCTAACTCCAAATTCTTCCCTCCACAAGCTGCAATTTATACAGAACTCTGCAGCTCATGTCCACTCCTGAACTGAGCTCAGTGAGCCAATTACCCCCATCCTCGCATGGCTTCACTGGCTCTCCACCCATCCTCCTAGAGGATCAAGCTCAATTAAGAAATACTGTTGCTATAATAGAGAGTACTCTGGAAAGATGAGATTTCACCCACAAAATATACAGACAATTTACTTTACAGCATATTCTGTGAAGCACTTTAATACATCTTGAAGACATGATAAGGCACTAGATCAAATGCAAGGATTATTATTATAAAAATGAGCCAAAAGGCCTTCTTGATCTCTTCAAATCTTGTGCAATGTATTTTCCATTCTTTGTAACGTATAGCTGGTTCTCTAAAAAAAACTAAAAGTAATATTAGTTTTTCCACCCGCTTTCATTATTTCTCTGTGTTCCCAGCACACATTTTGGACGTGGGTCTTCTGATTGGCATCAGAGATGGGACTACATTATTGTAAAGCCACAAAGTTGCTGATTAAAGATTGCAAGCAGACGTGCTTGCCAGACAAGCACATATGTTCACTTTGAGGGTTAACCTCTTGGGTAAAAGACTGATAAAACTACATGAATCATGGAATTTAACATCATCCCTGGATTTAACCCCTCGCACCCAAAAAGCAGAACTTATGGGTACTTTGGGGACGGAGTGTTATTGAACAGTTCTGCTCAAGTGCAAAGTGTAGAGGAAAAGTATGTTGTTCAATGATTTACAGACTCATCACCTGGATCGAGTGACAAATCAAAGAGAGAAAAAAAATTCCAACTTTATAGGAGGTATCTGAATGTTTAGTTCCTCATCCCAAGCTTTTCAGGTCTCCCAAAAATAGCAGTCACTTCGCTGAAGTTAGTCAGTGGTTCCATAGAGAATAAAAGGATCAGCTTCCTTCCCACTCCTGAATGATGATTGGGCCGGGCCGTGTCTGAGCCAGGGAAAGTCAATCATCAGCCAAAAACTTAGACTTGGGTATCAGAAAGAGTGACTGCAATAGGAGTATGGCACTCTCACACATCATTATTATAACTACAAAAGGACTGGAAAGGGATACAAATTACAGCAGTTGGAAAGTTTTAAAAATTCAGACGATTGAACCACGAGGCCTACCCGTTAAATAGATCAATTTATTCTCATTAAAAATCAGATTGAAGGCAGACAAATTACAAAGGTTTTAAATGGAGGTGAAAGCGAAGTTCATTGTTTTGCATTATTTATAAGGTCAGAAAGCCACACACTGATTGACACTAAAGGTCGAGCTGTGAGCAGTAAACATATGGAATATAATTAACCCAACTACTGTGATCCCGACAGCTAAATCCCAGGTCCAGAAAACAGACTAATCATAAGAAACTGGATGGATTCTCTGCTTCTGTTCCACTGCACACTGTGGGTGGGGATTAAACAAGACTGAGAAATGCAGATAAGAATGTTTGTGGAACTCAAACGAGATTCAAGCTTTTTGACTCCGAACCTTCACGAGTCTGGAGAGTATTAGCTACATCTAACTTAACTGCATTTGAAATTTATTCCATGTGAAGCTTTGCAGAGCTCCACTGCCAAATACACTGAAATCATCCACTTTTACAGATGAAGGAGAGAAAGGAGATTTACATTTATTTTTAAATAATTGTCTTGGAATCAGTCAGTAAGCACCAGTAACTATGCTTTCTGTGCTAGCTGCATGAAAAGGTACATGAGCAGTGTCAGAGAGCAATCTCCATTAAATATTCTTCACCTCAACATCCAAGAACAGGGTGCTCTACACTGCAGTCCACTGCTCCCATATTGTGATGTGTTAATGTACAATAGAAGAACAAACTGTTAAGAGTAACTTTTTACCAGCGATCAGAATTTAAGCAATATTTATATTTCACATGTTATAGCATCATCTGGTCAAATCATCTCAAAAGCTTCACTTTAATGGTAATTTGAAGTGTTAAACAGATAAATACCAATCTAAGTCAAGAAAGACATAAATAATCAATTATTCTGTTCACTTGGTGAATTTGTAAAATGTATGAAAATCCTTGCATTTAATTGTAATCCTTGCATTTGTTACAGTGCCTTTCACTTTGTGAGGCCATCTCAAAGCGCCACAGGGGATTTATTGTGAAATGAAGAGATTATTTGTAGGTGAATGTGGCAGTCAATTTGTGCACAGCAATGTCCCACAATTAGTCATGAAGTGAATGACTAATTTTACTTAAAAGGATTATTGGCCTAGACATCGGGAGAAACTCCCTTCTCTTTGCCATAGGATCTTTCAACTTGGAACAGGCAGACAGAATCGTGGTTTAACATCTCACCTGAAGGAAGCCACCTCTGACGATACAGCACAACCCATGCACTGCACTCAATACATGGGACTTAAACCCACAACATTCTGACTCGAGACAAATGAGCTATCAACTGAGCCAAACTGACACATAAAATTGGCCAGGACAAACAAGAAATCAGTTTTGTAGGAAAAGATTAATTCAGAGGGGAGGGGGCGGTGGAAGGGAGAGGCCCTGATAGTAGCAATCATAACAACTTCCCACCAGATCACAGTAACCTCAATAGATCAACCTCCAACAATGTAGTGTTATTCATGAGTAGTGCAAATGTGATGGAATAAAAAAGCAAACTTTTTTTTAAAACAGCAAAGAATGATGTCCAAAAATAATAACCTTCACAGGTACTATTCAATCTAAGGCAATTATTTTGCTAAGTCTGAGAAATGAAACCTGCACTCATCAGAAGACTAATGAACAACAACTGCCTTGTCTCCTTTGGGAGTAAGTAAGCAAGAGTCTCTAAGGCTCAGTTGGTTACAAGCTGACATGCACAACAGAATACCAGAGTACCTTGGGATTTTCTCCTGATATGAAAGGTGCTATATAAATGTAAATTTGTATTGTATTGTTCTTGATAATCCAGTTCCTGAGCCAGGCAGTTCTGCAGTACTCCTGATGTTGATGATGACTCAGCCTGGCTTGTTAGCAAGGCTTGGAGGAGCAGACTGGGACAGGGACTGTTCCTACTCAGCTCCCACTAACTTTGTGAGCCAACGCTCTAATAGTGCTAGATGGACAAGCAGGAGGAAACTTGCCAGTGCTAACAAGACAAGCTGTGTAGTTTAGCTAGTTAAACACCAACAGTCATAAACCTATATCTAAACTCTCTGGGAATAAGTAAGCAGGGTACATTAATCTGGGGAGACAGAAATGTTCATACATAAGTGTCTTCCAATACAGTAGTTTGGCTTGGATATTCTTAAGCATGGCGATTGATTTCCAAATGTCAAACACCAGCTGATCACAATTTGGTCCTTTTGCAAACACCTATTGCTACTGACCCAAGTTGTCTTTGATGACAGCTGCACTGAAATGGAAAGAAGAATCCATGTAACAAACATTGCATATTTTCCAGGTCAACTCCTTACCTGCCATATAATCAAGAAGAGGTAAATCCCAGCCACTCTCTGAAAGGAAGATTTTGGGTCAAACCATCGGACATATGTCCAACTGGCTGGAGTAAACTGCAGCACTGCTCGCTTCAGCTTCCCACTTGTGGTGTGAATTGCCCTGACAAAGATAGACTTTTTATTAATAATATAATACCAATATAAAACAGATCTTCCCAAAAAAACCAAGGCTACGATCAACTGTAGATCATTCTTATTGAACATTGGTCATATATTAATTATAATATCTCATCACTTTAGCTGCACTTTACAGTGAAAATATTTACAACATCCAACATTGGTAGATGAGGAGACTTACTTGAAACTTCCCCAGTGATAAGTCCGCATTTCTAAGAAGTGACAGACCACCATTCCCAACCAAATGCCGCCCCCATTGCAGAGCAAGATATCCAGAATGATCTGGTCCCACCAGCATTCAGCAAAGTTTGGCAACAGATGCATGAAGAAGAGCTGAAAGGGAGACAGAGATACAAATAAATTAAGAGAATGCATGTATGTAAGAAGAACCAACTTCACTTTATAGAAATTCAATAACTTATGGCTTTAAGCAAATAGGTAATGTTAGATATCCAATTTTTATAGTTAGACTTCACCAGTCCTTTCTTCCCCCTTTCCCTCCAAAGTGTCTGAACTAGAAGCCCATCTGAGGATTGATAAAACAGCTTAGTTAAGACCATATTTGTAGATCAACCCATTCCCACAACTTTAAAAGAACATTTCAGCATTTTTTTCTGCATGAAATCACATATTCTTTTAATGTAGCATTAAACGGCTTTATTCCTAAACAAATGCTCAGTGTGAAACTCAAAGCTTTACACCAGAATACCATCAGGACAAAGCATTCAATCCAACACAACTTCCTGTCAGTTGTGGCATTCCCTAAAAACAATGTGCTACAATATACAAATATGGCATCACAGTGTGAATAAGCAGTGATGGAGCCAACAGAGTCAAATGCTTCACAGTCAAATCCTCTGAACAATAAACTGCTCAATACTGGCGGAGAAAAATAAGATTTGCATAGAGCAATTGTGGATGCAGTGTAATTACTATAGCACACACAACACAAAAGCATTACACCAGCCCTAATGTAACCTAGCTAGAACTAGCTCTAACTGAAGCCAAACTAACACAGGTTTTCAATGAAGTTGCAAGTCACATTTTGATGTTCGTCCAACCAGTACTGTTTGCAAAATCCAAAACGCATTCAGATCCCTTCTCAAATTTCTGCTAAACTGTCGACCCCATCTTCCTTAGTCAACTTTGTGCAAACAAGCCTTGTGCGTCTTCTACAATGTTGGCTTACCTCACTTGGTAGCACTCAGAAGTTTGTGAGTCTTCACTCCAAGTTGAAGATTTTGAGCTCACTGTCCAGAGGAAAAAAATCTCCATGGCCCGATAGAAAACTAACACTGTAGTTTTACAGCATAGTTTACAGCACAGGAGGCCATTCAGCCCATAGTGGCTGTGCTACCCTATCAGTCCTACTCCCCTGCTCTCTCCCCATTATGCAGCCCAATTCCACGTGTCTTGGTCAGTTTCAGAAATACTTACAGCTGCAATTAGGAAATGCTACCTGGCCTCAGTTGAAGTGTGTGCCACCAGCCAACCAATAATAATAATATTTCCTTTTGATATAATCCCTAATCATGACGTCAAAATGTCACAAAGCACTCCATTAGGATGTACTGTAAAGTGATGTGAAAGTCTTGGCACAAATTCTCATTTCCCCATTTTCCCCAGTCATTCTGATAAAATTGATATCCTTCAGATTATTGGCACAATAAACAGGAGTGATGGGCAAGAGTCATGATTTTTACCTGCTCTAAAACTCTCTTCTATAATCCCCCCCATCTCCATCCCTCCTTTCAAAACAAGTCTGACATCCTTGCTCTCTTTGACTGTGTCTTTGGCCACCTATTCCCTACCTCCCCATTTTCTTTCTAACTCACTCCCACTCAGTCTTTATAAAGCGCTTTGTTCTATGTTTTTATTTAGTCAGTCGGGTGTCTGACACATGAAATAATCTATCACCACGCTTAAGAGTAATCAAACCAGACATTGTTCCACTTACATGTGAAAATTTGCACACCCTCTCCTCTGGAGGGATGCCTTGCTTGACCAATTCTGGAGAATGTTAGCTACAGGTTGGCAAGAGCAAAGGCTTGAGTCCGCCCAGAGTCTATGTTGGTGTCCTGCTGGAGTCCAACCAGCTAAAACCACATAACTGACCATTGAGAGCACTGTCTGGCAAGCTTACTACTATTTGTCCAACAATAACCATCCAATCCATTAAAGCTTTGCAGGGATAACAGATGCCAAATGGGAGGAATCCATGCTCTTAGTCTGCCCCTCCTCCTGTTGCAACGAGCACACTGGCTGTTCTGTCATCAACAATGCTCTGGAGCACTGAGGACCCCCCGGTTAAGGAATTAGATTACAGAGAACACCCGAGAACTGTCTGAGTAGATTCTGACATTCCTTTGACAAGCACGTCATCTTGGAGCCAGAACAACTCACTTCATACCAACAGTTCACTTCATGTTAGAACCATAGAATTTGGCAATCTGGGCCATCGTATCTGTGCTGGCTCTTTAAAGAGCGATCCTTTCAGTTCCATTTACTTACGCTTTCCCTATAATCTCTGTCGTTTACTTCATTTTAGGTTTTTATTTAGCTCCCTATCTAGTCTGTGGGTCGATGCTGTGTGCAGATACAAAAACACTTATTGGTAATTACTGACAAGTTGCAGAAAAGGAGCAAGGGTTTTACTAGATTTCACTCAGAGCCCCAATGATTCGGTCAAACCTGATACAAGCAGTTCAGGCAAATGGTTGCCAGACAATTACCAGAAAGCCAACCTACCGTTGCCAATTAAACACAAACCACATGAGAGCAACAAGAAATAGTCCAAATAAATGTTAAATAGATTTACATAAGTAACTAGATATTTTATGTGTTAAAAGTTATTGCATTAGACTGCAAGATAATCATAATAGCAAATGAATCCACAAAACGCTAGGATACAACAAAATCTAAGCCACGAAAGCCAAAAGCTGAGTTATCAGCATTTGCAATATTCAGAACTAGGCGTGATGCTCTCTGCGATGGAGTCTGACTAAGAAAGATAGTGTCAACCAGGCTACCAGCAAATCTATTAAATATCAGAACTGCTGTAAATAAAAGTCAGTGCCTTCAGGAGAGAAGAAATAAACATAGCCAGTGAATGCAAACCAGAGAATTACATTATGACAGTTTCCTCCCCAGCCCAGCCTGTTCTCCTTAAATCCAGAGTACTAAATATGTGGTTAGCCTCCCAGCTGTTGGGAACAAGCTGAGAGGTGTTTAAGGACAGATACAGATAGATGTGATTCTGTGTTGTGCAAATACAATGGTTTCCGAGCTGCTGAGATCATGGAAATGTTGCACCAACAAGTCAATAATGTATAATGAAAACCTAGACAACACTACCAACAATTTGCAACTATACACCACTTTCCTTAAGCAAGGTGATGGGTTTTCGCATGCATCAGTCACCCGGCTGACCAAAAAAAACCACACCACTTTTCAAATAGGGAAGATGTCTCAAAGTTGGAGTTGGAGCCTGAGTTAGGACAGAGACGGCCGAAGGCACAGTCAAAGAATTAGGGCTTTAGTTGTGTTCTGAAAGTGGAAATGGAAGGGGAAGGGTTGTTGAAAGAGAGTTTCAGAGGGAGGGCTGTAGACACATACTCAAAAGCCTATCTTTATTTACCTTTAGGGCAAGCAGAGAACACCTTTCATCTGAAGGTTAAGTGAATTGGGCAGAGTCCATGACGTAACAGCTTACCTGGACATAGTCTGTGGAAGAAATGGGCTTTATGGGTTGAGTGACTTATGACATTACATTATTTCTTATATTAAGGGCAAGGCTTTTTATTTTTAAAAAAGGCAGCAAAGAAACTATAAATCATGGAAGGTTGGAACGCTAATCTCTTATTTTCTTTCACTCCACTCTTCACTTTTTATTGCAACGTCTTATTGTTCTCTGTCCTTAGATTAGTTTCTCTCAGTTTTGCTAGTTTCCATTTCCCAGTTTTACGATTTATAGATTCCGTCTCTCCCCACTTCCTCTTTCTCTCATCATTTAGTACCACAAACTCATTCCATTTTCTGTTCCATTGTTCACTTTTTCACGGCCTTCCTTTTCAACACAAGAACACAGAACTGAAAAACACTTGTTCACAAATCATTCCAACCAACCAGCAAGCTCCCAAATATATTTTAATGCAGCAACCACAAATCTTCACTTACCAGCCCCAACAATTTACTAGCTAACACTCCCTTCTGTGTGACTATGCAGTAAAGAAAAATAAATGTAACAGAGAATTCATAATTACTGCATCAAAACAAAAGCAATAAAGAAAATGAGAAGAAACAGAAATCAATGTCATATTATCAGGAACCCAAGAGGAGCGGACAGCTTGAATTTGCAATACAATAATTGCACTTACTGCAAGTGAACAATTTTCACCAATAATTAGCATGATGAAAGGTCGTTGGCCTGAAACGTTAACTCATTTTCCTCTCTCCATGGATGCTGCCTGACCTGCTGTGTGTTCCCAGCGACTTCTGTGTTTATACTAGATTTCCAACATCTGCAGTACTTTGCCTTTTGTTCACAAGTAATTAATTCTGTTATAGCTCTGTAGGATAGCTCTTACTTATATGGGAATGCCATACCTCTGTTAGCTCCCAAGTGATGCTGATAGTCCAACAGAGCCCATAGCTGCGAATCAGCAATGCTTTCATAGCCCAGCCCCAGAAGTGGCCAAAGGCAAAGACATCAAAATGGCTGACAATCCTCTCCCAAGTGATGACGTGGCAGTTCACTGCATATTCCTATTCAAAATTAAACATTTTCATTAATATTTTCTTAAAATGACGCCAACGTATCGATAAAGCGGAGCCAACACTAGATTTGTTTCAGCATTCCTGACGCGTGCAAAAATAATTGTAAAAGATGAAACGTAACATCTTTACACAAAGCAGATTCTTTGATAGCATCGAATACAAGAGGTTCATAAGATATCAGTCTGTACAAAGGAGGTCTTCCATTAGCTTAGTACAATCCAGATACAGATTCCATAGGTAAAGCCAGTTGATTTCAGCAATCAGCATCTCAAAGCTGACAAGTTTGCATTTACTTTTCCATTCATCATCATCAAGATAGAATTATAGAGAATCGCTTGCATTTTCCTATGAAAGAAGCTATTTTACGCAAGCTTAAAAAAGGAGACTCTGTCTTTGGCGCACAGTCATGACGAGTTTACAAAGATGGGCATTTATTTTTCTAAAATCGCCACTTGAACTTAACTCTCTTGTCGAGGAGACAGAAATAATCCATTTTCCATCACCAGGAAAACCATAAAATATTCTATCTCAGTTTTAAAACAAAGTTGACATTTTCTGTTGGGAAACTGTTAATACAAAATATTAGATTCCACCTTTTAAAGGGATCTGATAAGCAAAGGTAATTTCCGTCCTGTTAATACAGTGCAAAGCATATAATATTTTTACAAGGTACATAGGAAGTAAAAATACAAGATTTTCCATTTAAACAAGGCCAACATTGCAGATCCACACATCAATTTTGTGTTTCCTCCACAGCAAAATGATACCTTTTGAAACTCCGTAAGCCCAGCTATAAGACTCCTTTGTGTGAAGTTATTAAAGATTAACCACACAATTACAGTTCTACTACTGGGAAAATAGACCTTACAGAAATTATTAACCAATGCCTAACCCCCCACTCCATTCCATGAACAGGTTATTACCACAAAACGTAAGTTGAAGTGAAAACAATTACCAACTGGATTCCGCAAGCAAGTATTTCAGTCTGTATGATGCTACAACTCGCTCTCACTTTGCATAAGGGAAGGAGGAGATAAACATTTTACTATGAACAGTGGCATCAAAAAACATGCAACTAATACACGTTTCAGTGAAGTACTAACGGTAAAATGTGAGGTGGTTGTGAAAAGAATCAAATTATAGAATTATCTGCTGCAGTTCTCTTATAGTAGTTAGCACTTTCACATGTCTCGATGATGTGATAAGGCCCTATATCACATGCAAGGATTACTAATATTTCCCTTCACTAAACACAAAACTGATAAAGGTCATTCAACCTGCTATATTTATCATATTTAGTGAGGTCGAGAAGCCTCTTAGCCCACTTCAGGACATGGGATATAAGACACTTAATTTGCACTTTGCACCATTTGAAAGAAAAAATCTTCACGTCTATTCAAAGCTAGCAGTCACTGTAAATCACTGGTTTTCACAGCCTATTCGAAAAGGGAAGGCAATTTCACTCAGCCAACAATCCCCCAGATAACAAAAAAATATCTTTCACTTCATGGTGGTTTGTGGGACAATGCTGCCTGTAATTTGGCTGCTGTGGTTGCCTACAAAACAGTCACTACACTCTGCAATTAATCCTGTGAGTGCTTTGAGACAATTCAACGACATGATAAGGTGGTATATCAATGCAAGCATCATTATTTTTATTAGTACTGTAAAAATGCAGTATAAATGGACCAACATGGGAGCTACAGCTTTGGACTAAGCAGACCATTAAAGTTTAACTTTGATTTCAGATCAATATCTCATTGCCACAAAAGTGTTTTTGAATCATTTTAGTCATTTTTTTAAGCTCACTGCATTTCATCATATTTACTTTATAGCCCAACACTTTGAATCAGAATTGTCCCATTGGTTGATATTATGTGCCAGGAAATGTCTGCACAGAATGCATGCTTTGGAAGAAAATGGAATACTCAAAAGACAAAACTTTTATGTCACTAGTTCTTGAATTTACTGAAGATAATCTTTTTTGATATTTGGCAGAATTTCATTGTGCAATTGTCAAAGGTTGGCATAACTTTTTCAAAAAAAAAAGAGGGCTGGATGAAGAATGCCTTCAATCCACTTGATCTCATTCTTCCAGAATGGTAACTTGACCATTTTGTGACTTTTCATTTTGGGGGGTAGGGGAAGGAGAAGAAGGGGCGGGAAAGAAAATATGTGAGATCTCTTTGGGGCTGAAGATATATATGCCTGTCAGCGGAATACCAGAAATCAAGCTGATTTCTCTACAACAGGGGAGTAGGTCAATCCTCCTAAAGAAATCCACTACACTGCGTGCAAGCTGAAGTCTTAACTGCTAATGGTGGCCTTCACTGCACAACCAGCAGTTGGTAAACTCCAACTATCGTAGTTGGTAAACGCCAATACACACTCTGTGGGACTCGTAAACTTTTGATTCTTCCCAACCTGCACATACTCTCCAGGATTAGGCAAGCAGGGTGTGTCACTCCAGGCAGAGAGTGCACATTCCATCCCAGACAAGAGGAAGCTGTACACTTGTTGAACTCATAATAATTTGATTTGGAGACCTACACACAATGATGGGTTTCCATGTCAAACATACAGCTAACCCCAAAACCTACTGTCTTCCTATTACACCAGCAGTTTATTTAATAAGACCAGTTTCTGCCTAGTAACCAGTTCAAGTTGTTCATTAACCACTGTATAAAATACTTGCTGCTGTCTGTTCAAAACTTGCCCTTCATAGCCATGGCCTTGTGTCCTTGTCCTGCTGCCTTGGTGCACCTGAAAGTACTTCTCCAGGTTCACTCTCATTTAACATCTTATTATTAGCTCAATAAAACCTTCTCTGAGATGCATCCCAAATTCCCCCACCCCGGAGAAGAAAAACAAATCCTTAAACTAAGATTAAACATTTGCTTAAATCTGTCACTTACTAATGTACCAGTGTACCAACCCTATATAATAATAATTCTGGCATTTTATATAGTGCCTTATCCGGTCGTCGAGACGTCTCAAAGAGCTTCACTGAATACATTGTAAAGTTGAATTGATTGTAAAGTGTATTGACTTGCATATTTTGTGGGTGAAATGCAGCAGCCAATCCCACAAACAGTCATGGATTAAGCCATCACATTTTTATTATTATTTTTGAAGGAATTATTACCCCCGTAAAAGCGATCCGCCAATCGACTAACAACCTGGTTCCTACTTACAGCTAGGTAAACAGAGGCACGTGGAGTAAGAAAACTTGCCTGCAACTAGGGCGACAGGGTGAAATGTTGGGCAAGTTTCCAACAAGAAAGTGAGTCAACGTTTCGGGTCCACGACTCTTCTGTTTTGACGAAGGGTCGTGGACCTGAATCACTGACACACTTTCCTTTCTCTATCGATGCTGCCTGACTTGCTGAAAGTTCCCAGCGACTTCTGTTTTTGTTTCAGATTTCTAGCATCTGCAGTAATTCGTGTTTTGTCCTACAAGTAGGTCAGCCATTAAAGAAGAACAAGCATAAAATCGTACTTCCCCCTCTATTCTTCTCCCAAACGAAACTTGGTTTCTTCCTCAAATCACATAGTTGAGGTTGGAGAAATTTAACCAATAATATTCCTTGTATTTGAAATAGCACCTCATCGCATTAATGAGATTTCTCAAAGTGCTTCATAAGAGTTACTGTAAAGTGTAGTAACTGTGTGTATTTGTAGTCAAACACGGCAATGTCCCACAAACTGCCATGAAATGAATGACCAATTTTATCTGGAGGATTGACACTGGGGGTGAGGGTGAAGAAACTATAACAGGGTTATAGAAAAAACCGAGCAGCTTCTTCTAACAGATTGGGAGGCGTTCTTTTCATTTACACATCAGTACTACTGAAAATTCGTTGGCACTTAAGACATTTTCACTCTAATCCTTAACTACAAAATGGAATACTGAAAGGAAATGGGCACTTTTTCAAAGAAGTGAACAGTTACTTGGTGTTGTGCAATGAAAGGATGAATACACTTACAACAACAACAAAATTACATTTGTAAAGCACCCTTTACAAGTCGGGAGGACGTCCCAAGGCACTGGACAGACAAAGTCACAGACCCAAGCTGGGGGCAGGGATCGGGGATGGTGGAGGGCAGTGGGGGAAGCAAGGAGATCGAAAGCACGGTCGAAGAGGTGGGCCTTGAGATGGGTCTGGAAGGTGGCGAGGGAGGGCGAGGCAGAGGGACTGCGGGATGGAGTTCCAGAGAGTGGGGACAGAGCGGCAGAAGGCCCACCCGCCAATAGTGGGACGAGCAAGACGGGGGACGTGAAGCAGGCCGGAGCCCGCTGAGCGGAGGGAGTGAGCAGGATGGTAGGAGGTTAGAAGGTCGCAGAGGTAGGGGGGAGCAAGACGGTGGAGGGTTTTGAAGGTGAGGACCAGGATCTTGAACTGTATCCTCTGTGTGATGGGAAGCCAGTGGAGTTGGGCGAGGATGGGGGTGACAGAGCCCGGTCGGGAGAGGACACGGGCTGCAGAGTTCCGGATGATCTGCAGCCTGTGGAGGGAGGAGTTGGGGAGGCTGATAAGCAAAAAGTTTGCATAGTTGAGCCTCGATGTAATGAAAGCATGTATGAGGGTTTCGGTGGCCTGCGGGGTGAGACAGTGGCGGGGCTGGGCGACATTGCGGAGGTGGGGGAAGGCAGAGCAGGTCATGGCACATTTTAATTTCCAGGCGATAAACTAAAATGGTAGCTATTATCTATCATAATCCAGGTATTTTATACCGTTTATATAATCCTTGACAAGTCATTTTGTGAGAAGAATTGAATCTACTAAAATCACTAAAAATATTTTTTTTATTTAAAGCAAATTCTTGGCACAATAATAACCATTAGAGAATTGAACCTTGTGAAACAAGTGGATATAAAGAGAAATTAAATTACAAGTTTGGTCACCGGGTTTTCAGTATTCTTGTAATGTTTGGCCACCATTATAAATAAGCCAAAATATCTCAATACATAAATCTTATCTAAATAAGCCTAGATATGAAACACTTGTATTTTCTGCAGATATATAAAAAAAATGGTTCTCCTCTTAATTTACAAGATGTAGTCCATCTTTTTCACACCCTTGAATAACATCACAATACAGAGTGTATGCAGTTCTACATACCATCACATCAGATTCCCGTGTGGCATATCGCAGATTAGGGTCCAGCCAATACATGACAGATTTCACTTGTTCTAAATTCAAGAACAGCAGGAACACCAGAAAAAGGAAATAAAGCACACTGAGGCCTGTAGAGAGAAACACACACATAATAAAACAGGTTCCACTATGCAAGATTCAGGCTGGGTTGGAAAGAGCCAATGCTTTGAATACTCTTAAGCTTAATGAAGAATTTCCACATTTTTCAGAAATCTGATTGACACAAAACAAATGGGAGATTTTTGTTCTTTTCATTTCTCAAAAAAAGTAAAATCCAGCAAACCAAAGAAATTTGACATTCAGCTCTCAGTCGCACTACCGGTAGACATCCAATCCACCAAACAGCAATATGGTTTTTAACCCAATTCGGGGATTGATATCGTCAGAAAAATTGCAGTGTAAATGGCAAGGAACAAGCACCTGAAATGTAAAGTGCATTTCCACTAGGGAACCCACCTACGTCATGATGACCCACGAGAATTCAGCTCCGATCAGATCTAGGTTTGTGCGAGTCGGCATGACAAACATCTGAAATTCTCTGAGACCTACGCTTAACATCCTGGGGTTCCCTTTCCACTATGCCATAGCATTTACCCATCAAATACTTTTTATGTAAAAAAACTTGCAATACAAAAAGCTCATTGCAAATGTAACGTTTCCAATAAGGAAGATTACTGACAAGCCAAGTGTGCCGTCCAGATAAATTGTTTATTAATTTCATGGCTGTTTGTGGGACCTTGTAGTGCACAAATTAGCTGCTACATTGACCTACAAATACACAAGTAATTTCCTGTGAAGCACTTTGATACAGTGACCTTCTAGATGCTGTATCAAATGCAAGGATTCTTATTATTATAAACAAACATTCAAGAAATGTGAATCAATCAGGCAAGCGTCAACACTGGGCTCTCTAACTTTCACTTATTTATAAATAAGTACTTAAGTATTTATAAAGTATCTCATCAAATTTAAAATAATCCCATTAATTTTCATTACTAATTCCAAATGATATTAGAGCACATTAAACTCATCAACTTTAAGCCATATATTCCATACTGAACAGCTTAATTCAAGCGTTCTCTATTATATATTAATCCACATAATGAATCCGCAAGCATAAAATGGGTGTCAGCTTGTCTTAGTTGGTAGAACTCTTGCCTCTGAGACATTATTCAAAAATAGATGGGAGTTTCTACTTGTGTCCTGGCCAAGAATCCTCCAGATAAAATTTGTCATTCACTTCATGGCTGTTTGTAGGACACTGACAGTGTGCAAATTGGTTGTGGCATTCGCCTACAGAATACACAATCACTACAATGTACAAAAACTTGAGAAGCCCATTCTGAATGTTAAACACGATATGAAATGTCAAGAATTTTATTATTTTTTTAAAAAATCTTTGTGTTTGGAGTTTTTTTTGGGTTGTGAATATAGTCAAGTGTCCAGATATATGGTAAACCCATGTCTATGCTTAAGAGTATCCAAACTAGACCAGTCAAACTAGACAAAAACAAAAAAACTTGCTATAATTGTAGGTAACATATCATTTTAATTGTCAGAAAAGGAGGTCTGTTTACTACAAGTGACCTTCTCATAACTGTCTGCCTGGCTCAATTTGTAGCACTTCCCCGAGTCAGGATAGGCTGACCAATTTGGGCCTATATTCTCTGGAATATAGAAGAATTAGAGGGGATCTTATAGAAACCTATAAGATCATCAAAGGGCATGATAGAGTAGGTAGTGGGAGATTGTTTCCCCTGGTTGGAGAAACTAAAACCAGGGGTCACAACCTTAAAATCAGAGACCGGCCCTTTCGCACTGAGTTGAAGAATTTCTTCTCTCAAAGGGTGATGAATGTATGGAACTCACGACCCCAAAGGCTGTTGACGCTCAGTCCTTGAACATACTCAAGACTGAGATAGATAGATTTCTTATTGCAAAGGGGATTATGGGCTATGGGGATAAGGCAGGGTCAGGTTATTAGCTGGAGTTAGATTAGAAGATCAGCCATGATTGAATGGCGGGACAGGCTCGAAGGGCCAAATGGCCTACTCCTGCTCCTACATGTTATGTTATAGGGAGCAAATCTTTTCCAATTTATTTTCAGGCCATAGAGGTGCATTTATATTAAAATGCATTCACCATGACACATGTTACACACACACACAGCTTGTTACCTTCCCAAACAATACATTTGCCTATTATTCAATAAAAATATTGCTTTTCCAAAAAAAATTGTGTTATTCCCACAAAAGAAAACAGGAATGTTACCTTGAAATACTTGTGAATATAGTCAAGAAGTGCAAGACTGGATCTTTAAATCTGAATGATAATTTTAGTAAAAAACAATAAACGTTTTAAGATTTGATCTTACCAAAAACCATCCTCCATATTGCTGGATGTGGGCGTGTGAATGGGCCTGAAGAATTAAGGGGAAAATTAACAAAGAATGCATTTTAAATCATTAATAATTGTTTCAGACGATGAAAATAATCTACGGTTGTGATGCAACTGTAAATATTCATTAGGAACGGTTGTCAACTTACCATTGGGAAATGCCAGTACACTTATGATTAGAAAAAAGAATAGCACAGAAAGTACCCCCTTCCATATATTATCTTCTGGCCCTGTGTCATCCCTGGATAACAAGATAAGACATTGCATTCATTGTACTATTTATAGTCCCCACCAAAGCGCGACAGGAACAGCACAGGCGACACGAGACACGCGAGGAACACACAGAGCAGCAGAACCTCAATGGATCTCTGATGGGTTTCGGTTCGAGTCTGTTTGGGTTTTTATTATCGTGAAGCGACGTGGGGTTTGAATGGGGTTCACTTCAGAAAACAGAACCTGTTCAGACGGACCGACCGACCGACCTCGTGGAATTAACGAGAGAGAAGTGGGGTGTGTGTGTGTGTGGGGATAGAAAGGAGCGGCCGCGCTGACGAAAAAAAAACCCACCATTTAAAATCGAGAGAGAGAGAAATAAAAAGAAGGCCCTCTGCACAGAGTACCCGGAGCTTTGCGAAAGTTACAAACCCAGAGCTGCGCGTTCAGAGCGGGAGGACCTCGGGCCGAGGGGAGGGGGGGGAGGACCTCCGGCCGAGGGGGTGCGAAGCGAACAAGTACCTGGTGAAAGCAAAATACATGAGGCTGACGATGGTGAAGGTGAGCAGAGTGATGGTGTGCGGTTTGTAGAAGAAGTCGATGGTGATGTCCTCCACTTGCTGCTCGTTGATCATACGGAAATGCAGTTTGTAGTTCACATCGTCCTTGCTGATGGTCCTGCTGGTTGCGTGAGACGCCATCGCTGCTCTTCCAAACGCTGCCCCAGACCCTCCTCCCTCCTTCCCCCTGTTGTTGTCCTGTTTCCCCCCCCCCCTCTCCTCTCCTCCCCGCCCCGTCCCTCCCCGTACCAGCCCGACCGCCTCCGCCCGTCACTTCTCAGTCGGATGGCCGGGGCTCCGGGCTGGTCTCGCCGAGCGACGCTGCGCGTGCGGCATTCATGGTGAAACGGAAGGAGGAGGAGGTGGTGGGTGGGTGGGTGAGGGGGGGGTGGCGTTAGGAAGGGAAGGAGGAGGAGGACGGCGCGTAGATGCTCTGCCCTTGTTTGCGGAGGAAGGTCAGTGCAATGCAGCGCCTTCTCTCTCTCTCTCCTCGCGCGCGCGCTGCGGGACGGGTTCCTCTGCCCGGACCCGCGCGCTCCGGGCAACCTTCCATTTTCGGAGCCGCACGCCGTGCGGCTCCGAAAATGGAAGGTTGCCCGGAGCGCGCGGGGCCGGGAGGGCGGGCGCCGCGTTCCGAAATGGAAGGTTGCCCGGAGCGCGCGGGGGCCGGGAGGGCGGGCGCCGCGTTCCGAAATGGAAGGTTGCCCGGAGCGCGCGGGGGCCGGGCCGGGCCGGCGCCTCGCTGCTCCCCCCCTCCCCCTCCACACACACACACCCACACACGAGGAGCCCAGTGCAGACTGAGCAGAGCAGAGCAGCCTAAGAAGGTCTTAGCTCTCTCACTAACTCTCTCGCACAGTTGCGAGTTCAAAGCTATCCCCCCCCACACACACACCACCCCATAAAAATGCTGAAGGCTTTATATTATTTTTATTTATTTGTTTGTTTCATACACACACACACACACATACATACATACATACATACAGAGAAGACCATAACTGCCAATGCAACTTTCTTTTTTAAAAAAAAATAAGCCTTATGTGTTTGCAGGACAGTGGCCGGGTAGCTGAGATTCCATTTTTTTTCCTATTTCAAAAAAAATATCGCCAAAGGTTTTGAAGTAGACTTCACAGAATGGCCCACCGCGCGTGTCGGCCTGCCTCAGTTGGCGGGAGCACTCTCGTCTCGGAGTCGGAAGGTTGGGGGTTCCAGCCCGATGCATAGCCATCAAGCGTGGAGGGCGCCGTATAAATGCAAGTTGTTGGAGGCGTAGTCGTAAGATAACACGCCAATGCATTGCTGGGTGGGGGTGTTGCATCGTTGGAGGTGCCATCCTTTGGATCAGACTTTAAACCAAAGTCCTCTCTGCCTGTTCAGGCGGATGGTAAAGATCCCGTGGCACTGTTTGAAAAGAGAAGGGTGTTTCTCCTGGTTTCCTGGCCAACAATCCCCCAAATAAAATTGATCTCTCACTGTTTGTGGGATAATGTTGTGCACAAACTGGCAGTCTTGCTTTGTTCATCTGACAGTATATCATGCAAAGTGCATTGAGATGTCCTGACAACATGATAATGTGCTATATCAAATTCAGGGATTATTATTCCATGTAATTTCAAAGGTTGAAGTGAAGGTAGATGAGATACCACAGGCTAACAAACCTAATGCTGTGATGGGAAGACGATAGAGTGGCTATTACTGGAAGATGAGATCAAATGGTCCAAAGGGCTTTCTTCATCAAACCAATCTATAAGCACTCCAAGACACTGTCCCACGTGTGGGGCATATATAAATGCACATTGTTGTGCTTCTTCTTGCTCGTTTTCTTTTACGCCTAAAGGTGCAACAGAAGCTCTGGAAATGCGCAGCCTCAGAAGCAGCCGGGGTGCAGTCGCTGTAACGGGGCTCGCTCTACCAGGAGTTAGCTCACTGGGCTCAAGTTTGTTAGTTGTTGGTAATAATAAGCATTGATTTGATATAGCACCTTATCATGTCTTCGAGATTCTCAAAGTGCTTCACAGAATACACTGAAGTGAATTGACGGTATATTTTGTGGGCGAAACGCAGCAGCCAATTACATTGCGTTTCACCTACAAAATATACAGTCAATTCGCTTTACAGTATATTTTGTGAAATGCTTTGAGACGTCTAGAAGACATGATCAGGCGCTTATCAAATGCAAGAATTATTATTTATTATTAATGCAGAATCCTTATTAACTTTTAAGAGGGAACTAGATGGATATCTTAAAAAGGAATAATTTGTAGAGTAAGGGGAAAAACGTGGGTAGGTAAATGGGAATGATTGTTTTTTCAAAGAGCTGTGGGCCAAATGGTCTTCCTGTGCTGTAAATTTCTATGGTTTTATAAGAAAGTTGAGGAAATATCCTTCAACCTTCAACCTTACCCAACTGATTAGCATTATAAGAAACAATAATCTCCTTGTCTGAGAATATTGTGTTTAAAAATAAACGTTATACTATAACTACTTTTATCCTGTAATTGTAAGAAAAAATACTACTTGTATTTGCCCCAATACTGAGCTACTAATAAACATTGTGGGATAGAAAGTCCACCTGGGTTTAGATTTACTCTTGTTAAAGTAGCTTTTCAGAGCTTCCAGAATTTGGCAAATTCTGAAATACAGCCTTACTTTGGAAGTCGGTTTCTGCAAATATCTTTTAACAAGGAATTCTCCTTCAGTGATTATAAATCCATTGGGAACTTACTCCTTGGATTATCTTGTGAATCATGACGCATACTTCTATCTCTTGGTTGTATTGCTCCAAATGATAAAGGACAGATAGGAAACAAAAATATTTCATAAATTTCATTTTCTAGTACCCTATCTGAGATAATCCTAACAATTGGCATAGCACCTTATCAAGTCCTTGAAACGTCTCGAAAATGTTTCACAGTAAAGACCATGTGTAGGCGAACTTGGCAGCAATGCACAGCAATGTCCACAGATACTGTAACTACAACAGCAACTTGCACTTATATAGCGTCCTCAACGGAGGGTGGCGTCTCAGAGCGCTTAACAGTGGCGGAGCCTGACTCCGAGCTGGGGGTTGGGGAGGTGACCGTAAGCACGGTCGAAAAGGAAGGTCTTCAGGAGAGACTTGACAAAGGGGAGAGAGGGGGCAAGGCGGAGGGATTGAGGGAGAGTGTTCCACAGTTTGGGGGCGGAGTGGCTGAAAGCATGACCTCCAATGGTGGAGCAGCACCCTCCACTCCCTCCACAGCTTTGATCCCTCACTCATAGCCACTCCACAGCTATGAAGTGAATGACCAATGTTATTAGCCAGGACACGGGGAGAAATTCTTTTTGGATAGTGCCATGGTATATTTTACATCCATCTGAACTGACAGTACCTCAGTTAAACATCTCATGCAAAGGACAACATCTCTGCCATTGAACTCTCCCCCAAATTACAGTAGAGAATCAGCCTAGACCATGAATCTAAAATGCTGAACTGGGACTCAAATCCACAACCTTCTGACTATGTTGAGAGCTACCAACCGAGCCAGGCTGACAACAACAACAAAAAATGCATTTATATAGCTCCTTTCACATTGGGAGGACATCCCAAGGTGTTGGACAGTCTTGCAACTGAGCTGATGATTAATCCGGGGGGGCTGGGGTGAGGTTGGGGGGGATATAACTGGAGGTGAGGTCAAAGGGGAAGGTCTTCAGGTGGACTTTGAAGGAGGCAAAGGTGGGCTGACACTCGAGATCCCTCAGCATTCAAAGGCCTCATGTTTTGAGACATTCCAAACTGAGCTATTTCAGGCAACAGTGGCATGCAACCATCAGCAGTTAAAAGAGCTACATCCTTTAATACTTACTAATGTTTCCTTAGTTCCTTTATAATAATATTCATACTTTGCTTGTTACAGGATCTGACTTAAATTGAATAAAAATGGCCACATTTTGTCACCGGATTTGCCACCGATGGTCATTATCAAGAATCACTGGTTTAGTTTTAATCTCAAACTATAAAAGCCAAGTGACAGTACCGGTATCTGCAGCAACTTGTAGACTTTTATCTTGGTCTAGTGCACGTGTTACATCCCTGGCACATCAAAGCCTCTGTGGACTGAAAAATCAAAGATCTTGTTCCTCAGGGGCAGACCCTGCACCACAGAAAGGTGGCCTCGGAGTTAGAGAAACCAGCCTTTTACTAAATGCAAACTGTGGCCGTGAGAAAGCAGTGGCATCCAGCCCAGCCAAAGAGACATTTTTTACAGGTAAGGAACTAAAAGATTGAATCTCTTTTATATATAATACATATATTATCATAACTGGCAAGAAGTACCCCCAATTTCAATTGCTTTTAATGAATATTAACTTTGGAGTCCTGTGATGCTAGAATCTGGTTGTAGTTAAATTATAACTTTTTAAAAGAACCATGTAAATAGCTTGCATAGAAATACTATGTTGTGCTTCGATCAAAATTGCTGAAAACCGCAGGTAAAGTTTCTAATCCTTGTTTTCCAAACTATTTAAATAATTTTGAGCAGTGTAGTTTAAAGAATAATAATAATCCTTGCATTTGATACAATGCCTGAACAAGAACAACTTACACTTATATAGCATCCTCCACGCAGGGTAACGTTTCTGAGTGCTTAACAGTGTCGGAGCCTGACTCCGAGCCTGGGGCGGAGGTGGCTGTAAACATAGTTGAAGAGGAAGGTTTTCAGGGGGAACTTGAAAAAGAGGAGAGACGGGGCAAGGCGGAGGGATTGAGGGAGTGTTCCAGAGTTTCGTAGTAGCTGAAACCACACCTCCAATGCTGGGGCGGAGGGTGCAAGGGACGAGCAGGAGGCCGGTGCCAGTAGAGTGGTGGTGCTGGGTGGTGGACTGGGGAGTGAGGAGGTCGGAGAGGTAGGGAGGTGGCAGAAAGTGAAAGGATTTGAACATGAGTGTGAGAAGCTTGAAGTCGATCTGTTCGGTGATGGGGAGCCAGTGGAGCTTGGCCAGAACTGGTGAGATGTGGGTACAGAGTTTGGTCCGGGTCAGTATGTGGGCAGCAGAGTTCTGAATGAGCTGGATCTTGTGAATGGTGGAACTGGTGAGAACGCCGAGAAGTGTGTTGGAGTAATCCAGACGGAAGGTGACAAACGCATGCACAAGGGTTTCGCCTGCATTTGGGGTAAGGTACGGTCAGAGGTGGGCAATGTGGCAGAGGTGGAAGAAGGCAGTCCTGGTCAGGGGCCGGATGTGGAGGAGGAAGGACAGCTGGAGGTCGAATCGAACGCCTAGATTGCGCACTGGTTCGGTGAGACTGAGGGAGAGCCCAGGGAGGTTGAGGAGTTCAGATCCGCAGGAGTGAAGATGTTGATGGGAACCAAGGAGTATGGCTTCCGTTTTGTCCATACTCATCCAGGCCTGATGTCTGCCAGACAAGCTGATAGAACATTGGTGGACCTGGAGTTGGTACTGGAGGAGGCAAAGATTTGTGTGTCATGCTCATACATGTGGAAGTTTACCCCGTGTCTGCGGATGACTTCACCCAGAGGGAGCATATAGATAAGGAAAAGAAGAGGCCGAGGATGGAGCCCTGGGATACTCCGCAGGTGACCGGGTGGGGGTGGGAGGAGAAACCATTTGCCGAGATGAAATGGAGGCAGTTGGTTAAGTAGGACTCGACCCATGCGAGTGCGATCCCACTAAGGTGGATGAGGGAGGAGAGGCGGTGGAGGAGGATGGCGTGGTCAACTGAGAGATCCAGGAGGACGAGGAGACAGACGGAGGTATTATGTCGAGACATCTCAAAACGCTTCACATGTATGTCTTGGCACCCCCCTATCTCTCCAACCTCCTCTTTTCTCACAGAACTACCTGATGTCTCCGCTCTACTGGCACCAGCCTTCTCCTTGTCCCTCGAATCCTCCGCTCCACCATCGGCAGCCATGCCTTCAGCCAATACGCCCCGAAGCTATGAAACTCCCTTCCTCAATCCCTTCGCCTTGCCCCCTCCTCTCTTTCCCCATTTTCAGGTTGGCCTGAAGACCTTCCTCTTCGACCGTGTCTATGGTCACCTTCCCCCTCCCCCTGGCTCGGCATCGGGCTCTGCCATTGTTAAGTGCTGTGGGATACCACCCTGCGTGGAGGGCGCTATATAAATGCAAGTTGTTGTTGTATAGTGTAAGTGACATTATTTTGTGGGTTTACACCACAAACGATACATAATAACGTTTGTGCAAAGGTAATTAAATGGTTAAAAATGATACTGTCTTTAGGTAAACAACTGGGCAGGTGGATTGACTGTTTAGAGCCGTAAATATGGATACATGCGGAGAAAAGAAAAAAGGATTGGGAGGGGCTAGGGGAGACCCACGTAGAGTATACACACTGAACAAGTTGGTCTTGGAGACCTGTTTGTGTGCTTTAACAATGTAATTAGTTTTATGTAATTCTATGTAACTGGAAGTACATGTTGGGCTTTGATTGGGAATTGTACACATTGGGAGTGACTGGGGATTGATTAGTGTGCTAGAATTGTACAATTGGATCACAATTATATATAAATGAGGTGTTATATTCTAAATGTAGACGATACTAAATGTACAATTTTATATAAACGTAGTGTTATATAAATGTGTGGTCTGTGTTATGTTTTAATCTACTAGCTATTGTTCCACTTGTGGATGGCCTCTTTTGCCTCTGAATCATTGGTGCTTACCCTCTAAGGCCTTTAAGCCTCTCTCTTATTTTTGACACATGGAGTGTAGTTGAGTGTAGCAGAATTGAGACTTTTTGCTGAATGAAATATTTGGAGTAAAGCCACAATTCCTCCAACTAGCAGTTGAAAACTGCAAAGGACCATGTATGGGTATAGTAGCTATCACTGAAACATGGTTACAAGGAGATCTAGGGTGGGAGTTAAATATTCCAGGGTTCTCAGTTTACAGGAAAGATAGGCACTGTGGGAAAAGAGGTGGGGGGTAGCCCTGTTAATTAGGGATGAAATAAAAGCAGTGGAGAGGAAGGATCTGAAATCCGATGACCAGGAGGTTGAGACAATATGGATGGAAATAAAAAATAATAAAGGGCAGAAAATATTAATGGGAGTGGTTTATAGACCCCCAAACAGCGATCACAATATAGCACAGGTTATCAATCGAAATCAGTGGAGCATGTAGGAAAGGTAAAGCAATAATAGTGGGTGATTTCAATCTCCACATAGATTGGGAAAACCAAATCGGCAAAAGTAGATCAGAAGAATTCATTGAGTGTATGAGAGATAACTTTCTAGAGCAGCATGCCGAGGAAGCAACTAGGGGACAGGCCACCCTAGACCTTGTTTTGTGTAACGAAACAGGCCTAGTTGGCAGTGTAGGTATTAAGAATCCTCTGGGGCAGAGTGATCACAATATGATTGAATTCTGCATTAAGTTAGAGAGGGATATAGTTAAATCCAAGGCAAGTATTCTGAATTTAAATAGGGCTAATTTTGTAGGTATGAGGAAAGATTTAGGTAAAATAGACTGGAGAATAAGATTAAGAGGTAAAAATGTAGACCAACAGTGGCAAATATTTAAGAATGTAGTGCAAAATTCTCAGCGGTCGCATATTCCCTTGCGGAATAAGAGTACCACAGGGAAAGCAATTCATCCGTGGCTAACTAGAGCAGTTAGGAAAAGCATCAAATTAAAACAAAAGGCTTATAAAACTGCCAAGAAAAGCGGCAAATCTGAAGATTGGGAGACTTTTAGAAACCAGCAAAATAAAACTAAAAAAACTCATTAAGAGCGAGAAAAAGGAGTATGAGGGTAAGCTAGCTAGGAACATTAAGTCTGATTTTAAAAGTTTTTACAAATAGATTAAGAGGAATAGGCTAGTGAGGGTAAATGTAGGTCCACTTCAGTCAGAGACGGGAGAAGTTGTAATGGGGGACAAGGACATGGCAGAGTCCCTAAATGGGTACTTTGCATCTGTCTTCACCCTAGAAGACACAACAAGTCTGTCAACAATAGAGATGCACCAAGGGGATAAGGACAGGGAGCAACTTAGGGAAATTTTCATTAGTAGAGAATTGGTGCTCGGGAAACTGTTAGCACTACAAAGTGACAAATCCCCTGGTCCGGATGAGGACATCGAAGTTAATAAATCTAAATTCCCAGATGACACAAAACTAGGAGGAAGTGTCAACACAGAGGACGACATTAAAAAAATGCAGCGAGACATAGATAGGTTAGGTGATCGGGCAGGTAGGTGGCAGATGAAGTATAATGTAGGGAAGTGCAAAGTCATCCACCTAGGGAGCAAAAACAGTAGTGCGGGTTATTTTTTAGAAGGGGAGAGATTGGAATGTGTTAGCGTCCAGAGGGACTTGGGTGTCCTTGTACACCAATCACAGAAAGTTAGTCTGCAGGTGCAGCAGCAATTAGGAAGGTGAACGGTATGTTAGCGTTCATTATGAAAGGATTAGAGTATAAGAGTAGGGAAGTCTTGCTGCAACTGTATAGGGCCCTGGTGAGACCACACCTGGAATACTGCGTCCAGTTTTGGTCTCCTCATTTAAGGAAGGACGTACTTGCCTTGGAGGGGGTGCAGCATAGATTTACTAGGTTAGTACCAGGGATGAAGGGGTTGAGTTACGAGGATAGGCTGATCAATTTGGGCCTATATTCTCTGGAATATAGAAGAATTAGAGGGGATCTTATAGAAACCTATAAGATCATCAAAGGGCATGATAGAGTAGATAGTGGGAGATTGTTTCCCCTGGTTGGAGAAACTAAAACCAGGGGTCACAACCTTAAAATCAGAGGCCAGCCCTTTCGCATTGAGTTGAGGAAGAACTTCTTCACTCAAAGAGTGGTGAATGTATGGAACTCACGACCCCAAAGGGCTGTTGACACTCAGTCCTTGAACATATTCAAGACTGAGATAGATAGATTTCTTATTGCAAAAGGGATTAAGGGATATGGGGATAAGGCAGGGTTAGGTTATTAGCTGGAGTTAGATTAGAAGATCAGCCATGATTGAATGGCGGGACAGGCTCGAAGGGCCGAATGGCCTACTCCTGCTCCTATATGTTATGTACTGTTTTTGGATAACCCCTGAAGTCCTTCCTATTCAACCGTGCTTATGGTCACCCTCACTCTCTCCGTGGCTTGGTGTCAAGCTCCACCACTGTTAAGATCTCCAAGGTGAAGGGTGCTAAATAAACGCAAGTTGCTGTTGTTGCTGGCTTCAGGAAGTCAGCAGCTTCAGGAAGCTTTTCCCAGTGTCGGTCCAGCCTAATGGTCCACCGCCACATCTGGCTGGACCTTATCAAAACTACTGGTATCCTGACCGACTGCCTGTCCGGCATCAAGTCCTGGACCAGGGCCAACTTTCTCCAACTCAACATCAGCAAGACCGAGGCCTGCCTGATTGGCTCTCGCCAGCGCCTCCGCACCTCAGGCACTGGCAGCATCAGCCTCCACTGCTGCACATTCAACCTCACTAAGCCAGTCAGGAACTTGGGTATCTTGTTTGACCCTGAACTGTCCTTTCTCCCCCACATCTGCGCCATGACCGGCACTGCCGACCACCACCACCTCCGCAACATTGCCAAACCCCACCACTGCCTCACCCCTCAGGCTGTCGAAACCCTCACCCACGCATTCGTCACATCAAGGCTCGATTATGGGAACTCCCTCCTCATCGGCCTTCCCAACTCTTCCCTTCACAAGCTGCAGATTATCCAAAACTCTGCAGCTCGTGTACTCTCAAGCACCAGGCTCCGTGACCCCATCACTCTCACCCTCGCCCGACTCCACTGGCTCTCCATCCCTCAGAGGATCGAGTTCAAGATCCTCGTTCTCACCTTTAAGGCCATCCATGGCCTTGCCCCTCCTACCTCTCTGACCTGCTGACTCCCTACCATCCGGCCCGCTCCCTCCGTTCAGCGGGCTCCGGCCTGCTCCATGTCTCCCACCCGACCCGCCCTACCATCAGTGGCCGGGCTTTCAGCCTCTCTGCCCCCACACTCTGGAACTCCATCCCACGGTCCCTTCGCCTCACTTCCTCCCTCGCCTCCTTCAAGGCCGGTCTCAAGACCCTTCTCTTGGACCATGCCTTCGGTCGCCCTCCCACCTCTCTGTCTTCCCTCACCACTACACCACCCCTCCCCCCATGCTCGGGCCCTGACACCTGACTGTTCAGTGCTTTGGGACATCCTCCCGACGTGAAAGGCGCTCTATAAATGTAATTTTGTTGTTGTTGTCGTGTCCTGGCCAAAGATTCACCAGCTGAATCGGTCATTTCACCTCCTGGCTATTTATAGAATTTGCTGTGTGTAAATTGGCTGCTGCAATCACCTACAAATATAGTCACTGTACGTATCAGTAATTACTGTGAAAAGCTTTGAGACATTTCAACATTTTCTCCACTTTATTATCATTGTAACACCAAATACAAGGATTAGCATTGAGAATAGTGAGGCAGTGGGAGAGAGAGAGTTGTTCTCTTGCACATCTGTGCACCCTCTTCCCCCCACTATGTATTTGCCTTTGAATTGTGATCTTTGCTAATTCATTCTTGATGTTTAATTCTAGATTTAGATGTTATTCCACTACCATCTCCATTTGAGGAGATATTGGACGAAGAGGCCGTGCAAATTGAGGACGGGAAGTGCTTCCTCCAGCCTCCTTTACCCTGCGTGATTATGTCGACCAGTCTGACACTCTAAGCAAACTGGTACTGCTAGGTAAGTATTACGTGTGTTTTTCTATTAAAAAAAAGGAACTGAAGCAATATGCAACATTATTAATAATAATAATCCTTACGTTTGATACAGTCTTAACATACCAAAGCAGTTCACATGATTTCTGTAAGGTGTACTGATTGTGTATTGTAAGCAAAGGATATTCGGCCCAAAATGTCAGTGTTAACTCTTCCCCTCAAGTTGCAGTCTGTCAGAGATATCTATCACTATTATAGTCACAATTAATGTTTTAACATTGAGTCCTGGATGAGAGCTAACTTTTTATAATTGAACATCAACAAGACTGAATCCCTCCTGATTGGATCCCATCAGCACCTCCACACCTCAGGCACTGACAGCATCACCATCCAAGGATTCACACTCCACCTCACTGAACCAGTCAGGAACCTTGGCATCTTGTTTGAATCTTAACTGTCCTTTCTACCCCACATCTGTGCCATGACCTGTTCTGCCTTCCCCCACCTTCGCAACATCACCCGACTCCGACACTGCCTCACCCCTCAGGCTGCTGAAGCCCTCATCCACGCCTTCATCACATCTAGGCAGGACTACGCCAACTCTCTGCTTGTTGGCCTCCCCAATTCTTCCCTCCTCAAGCTGCAACTCATCCAGAACTCTGCAGCTCTGTGATCCCATCACCCCAGCCCTTGCTCAGCTCCACTGGCTCTCCATCCCCCAGAGCATTGATTTCAAAATCCTCGCCTTCAAGGCTCTACCTCTGCAACCTGCTGACCCCATATCAACCTGTCCGCTCCATACACTCAGCAGCCTCTGGCCTGCAAGAAGCCCCCGCCCAGCCCGCTCCACCATCAGCAGCCGGGCCCTCAGCCTCTGCCCCACCCATCCCTTCGCCTCGCTCCATCCCTTGCTTCCTTCAAGACATGTCTCAATACCCTCCTTTTCGGCCACCCTCCCTGTCCTCCACGGTCCCCGATCCCGACCTCCTGCTCCAGTCCAAATCTCAGACTGTTCAGCGCCTTGGGACGTCTTCCCGACGTGAAAGGTGCTATACAAATATAATTTTGTATTGTATTGTAAAGCACTTTGTTTTTCACTGACCAACGTGCCGCCGCCAGTTATGGACATTAAGATTGAGGTTTGCTCAGTACCAGCTGTTGCTAATTCTAGTCACATTTTACTTTGAATCATGGGCTGCAGGTGTGGATCTTTCTAAGCTGGAGCAGCGACCAAATGTAGCCAACATGTTACTACGGTTGGACTTTGATAAAAATGTGAAAGAGTGTCTGCTGTTCCTGAAAGACTTGGGGGTAGAAGAGCATCAGTTTGGAGCCTTCCTCACCAAGAACCCTTTCATCTTAACGGAGAGTCTGGGGAATCTACAGAAGAGGTAATCTGCAGTGAGGTGAAGGACGTATTCATCAGTTTGATGATTTGTGTAGCAGGATACTGAGAGAAGTCTCAGGGTTTGTTTGAAAATAGTGCAGTGGCGTCTTTTAAAGTTCACCTGAACCAGAACATGCAATCAAAATATTAAGATAACGTCATAATTACAAGTATCAGTCCTCCTCGGCTATGCCAACCTCTCCTGTGGATCTGCCCATGTTGCTCCAGATTGTAAAACTACTAAGGAGATTTTCTTCCTGTTATCTGTGTGTTTCCACTCAGTGTCTCCTTGACAGCACAGGGTGATTAGTAATTTCACACAGAGGGTTAAGAAGGGAACGGAGTGGGAGGGGAACACCGTCTTACGACTGTATGCTATATTTTGTGGTTAGCGGAACATTGGCTTTTAAAATCAGCTGGATTTTAAAAAGAACCTTTGTTTTAGGTGAGATTGTATTTTTCTATTGATGGAGATGTCATATCAGTTACAATTGAATGAAATTTCTTTAACTGCTGCCACCTGGTGTAATGCAATTGCATTACAGGATACAATATAAATTTACATTTATATACTGTAGTAACTTTCATGTCAAGAGGATGTCTAAAGTCTAAACAGTACTTGGGCACCCGAGCTGGTGATAGGAGTCGAGGGGGGAGGGGAAAGATGACAGAAGGCGCAGTCAAAGGTCTTGAGATGGACCTTAAAAAAGGTGAAAGAGGGGACAGGTGGAAGGGACTGCAGGACAGAGTTGCAGGGAGTGGGGTTGGAAAAGCTGAAAGGCCACCTGCCCGTGGTGGGCCTGGTAACCAGGTGAGGACGAGGGTAATAGTCTGGTAGAGCCTGGTGTAGGGAAAGGACTTGGGTTCCAGAGCTCTGGGAGACCACGCAGGCTATCATGTTCTGGATAATCTAGAACTTGTGGAGGGTGTAGCCAAGGAGGTTGGGGTATAGGCCATTGGAAAAGTCAAATGTGGAGGTAAGTGAGGTGTACATTTGGGTTTTGGCTGCTTTTGTAGGTGAAATAGTGGTGGAGGCAAGTTATGTTTTGGAAATGGAGGAAAGCAGATTCAGTCAGATCCCAGAAGAAAGATTTGAAGGAATTTGAGGATTCAGTTCTGCCAAGTTGGAGAAAGTTATGGTTTGTCCAAGTGTTGATGTATGATAGGTGGTCTACCAGAACAGAGTAGTACTGGATTCAAGGCTGGAGGCAGAGAGGTAGAATATTTGTGTTAAAATGTTTACATCTGAAAGTATTGTTTTCACTTTATTTGGGGCCAGGGTATCGTACCTGCAGTCTAAGAAATTCAACAAAGAAGCTATTGCAAGAATGGTGTCAAAAGCTCCTTATTTGCTCAACTTCAGCGTGGAAAGACTGGACAACAGGCTTGACTTCTACCATAAAGAACTAGGTCTAAACGTGCAGAAGGTAATACTCTAGCGCCTTGGGACGTCCTCCCGACGTGAAAGGCGCTCTATAAATGGAATCTTGTTGTTGTTGTAGAATGGGTCAGTACTATGAAACCGTTGTTCTCATTAGTCAGTGCATGATGTAAGATTTTCTGATGGAGGTGCCATGCTTCAGGTGAGATGTTAAACCTTGTCTGCCTGTTCAGATGGATATTAAAGTTCCTTGGCTCTATTCAAAAGGAAAAGGAAGTTTCTCCGGTACCGTAGCCAACAACTAAAATTGCACAAATTGGCTGTTCCGTGTACTTATAAATACTCGGTCACTAAACTTCATAGTAAAATCTTGTGAAGCACTTTGAGACATCTGGGCGACTTGATAAGGTGCTATTTCAAGTGCAAGTTTTATTATTACTTCTCTGTGTCACTTAACCTGCCTTGTGATGCCTTGGGATGTCCTCCCAATGTGAAAGGCACTTTACAAATGTAATTTTGTTGTTGTGACAATAATCATCAGGTCATTTGCTGTTAAGGTTAGTAAGGGACCTGAACATAAAATGACTATTTACAGGGCACCATATATTTAAGTAGTTGGGAAGTTCCTTCTTTGAGATTGCATCTATCAGTTTTGTTTCATCATTTTGCAATTCTTTCCTAATCAGAGATCTTCAGAGTTGGCCAAGTATTCTGAGACGCTACACTGCACGAAATGCAGTATATAAGTGCCAGTTGTTGTTTCTTCCCTTTTTGCAGTGGTTGCACTTTGGAAGTGTTGATGTTAGGCATGTTAAACCACTTACAGTTGCACCCAAAATAACTGCTAACTCTGGTTCTTAGGATGAATGATGCTATGGAACAGGGTAATTCATTTGGTAATAAATGCAAGTCCAGTTTCTATTGATATTCAGTATATGAATATTATTAATATTCACCTCAGTATGTGGGTCCTCCTGACATGAAAGGTGCTGTATAGATTTAGTTTTGTATTGTTTATGTGCTTTTTTTTCTTCCAATTTTTCTAGACTCGTGAGTTGGTCACCCGTCTCCCCTCACTGCTTACTGGTAGCCTGGAACCTGTAAGAGAAAATCTCAAAGTAAGTGGAACAAAGCTGCCAAGCTTCCCTTAGATGCATTTACATTTACAGTGCAGTAATGGGTGCATTTCTACTTGTTAACTCATAGCAGTTTTGATGATGTACATTTTATAATCCGATCTTGTCAAATAGACACACATAGCAGCAAGAGGAATTTTGTCTAGTATCTGTATGTTTAAGGCTGATGTTCTTCCTTAGTCGATCATTGTCAGTTTTGTCAGTGAAAACCTTTCAGGCAGCTCTGTTATTTTCCAGGTTTACCGAATTGAATTTGGGTTCCAGGAAAATGAACTACAACACATGGTGATGAAAGTGCCCAAAATGCTTGTCGCTAGCAAGAAAAAAGTGACTGTAGTGTTTGATTATCTGCACAATATTATGGGTATCCCTCACCTACTAGTAACAAAATTCCCTCAGGTAATAACTATTTATTTGCTGTTTTTTGCATTATAAATGTACGACTAATGTATCGTATCCTAAAACAAACTTAGATTAATTGTTATGTTAACTGTATCAGCTCCTTATAATGAAACCCCAAACCCTTTGGCTTATTAAACTAGCCTATTAAACTAGTTGCATAATTATTTTGCTTATAAACATGTCTTAGACTTTATTTTGATAATAAGTTATCCAATGTACTCACATTGATGTTCATGACGATGTTGTATTAAATCACTTTAAGATCAGAAAATTTGGCCAAATAACATATATTTTACTTACACTTAAAATCTTCACCATTGGCTAATATACATGATAAATACCGATTCTATTTGAGAACCTGAAATCACGAATTAATTTTAGTCAGTAGCATGATTTTCTAAAGCAGGTGTTTAGGTGCTAAATGATCAAACATTTATTAGTTTATTCAGCTCTCCAAGAAACTACTTCTCGTAAAGGACGTTTAAATGTAAATGTAACTTGTTGTAAAACCATCCACATGAGGAGATTGACTTCCTGCACTTAACCAGGATTTTTCTTTCCATTCTAGGTTTTCAATGCAAAGCTTCTGAGAATAAAAGAGAGACATCTGTTTCTTGAACACCTGGGACGTGCCCAATACGACCCAGTTCAGCCAAACTACATTTCCCTTGATAAGCTGGTAGCAACCCCTGATGAGGTGTTCTGTGTTGAGATTGCAAAAGCCACACTGCCAGACTTTGAAGCATTTCAAAAGACGCTTTAAAAACAAAGCTTGTTTCAATGTTTGTTGATGTAGATAAGCTATAAAAAGTAGTTAATTACAAATACATTTTATTTTTTTTACACGCAGCGTGATTTGGGCTAATATCATTGTTGGTGTCCGCATTTCAACCCTAGTCTCCGAGTGCGCTGTTCATTGTGAGGACTGCCCAGAATGAGATTTCAGACTTTGGAATGCAAATCCTGTGAATCTGTGGCCACTGGGAGACTCTCAGAAAAACTTCACTTGTGATCCAACACTGCTGTCAGAAAGCAGAGAGCATTACCCTTTGGCTTGGCAGGCCTTCAATCTATCGCTTGTTAGCAGAAAGGAGGTGAAAATAATTCACTATTAAGAGGCATTACACAAAGACATGAAACAGCTTTCTACTTCCATCACTAGAAAGTTCCATAGAAAGTTTACAACACCAAGGATTTTCAAAAAATAAATCTTTGATTTAAGATTCTTCCATACATCATATCCCTGAGAGGCCAGACATCAGAGAAGGTCTGTCTTCATAAGTTGCGTGAAAGACACAAGTTTGCTTTTCGCATTCTTCCCTCTCTTGCCATTTGGAATCACTTGAGCTTTGTTTAGCTCAATCTATGGCATCACGCAGACTAGGCACTTGCTATATGGGGAATAGTAACTTCAAGCCTGCAGCTTACCATTCTGACTACATATTCAGTGCCACCATGCCAGATCTGATCCTGATTTCAAAGGAATATTCCAACATTATTCAAATTGAGATAAAAGGGAATGAAAATGTTAGACATTTTGAAATAAAATTGCTGTAAAGATAGTGATCAATCAGAGGGGATAGGTGACCATTCAGCTGTAAAATACACAGTCACTGTGCTTTACAGTGTAGGCTGTGAAGCAAGTTGAGGTGTCCGCTTGATGTGAAATGCATTATTTCAAATGTAAGTTATTATTACTGAATCAGAAATTGCTGTAAACAGCGATCAATCAGTATCAGAAAATGCTGGAAACACAGAAATCATTCAGTATGGGATATTTGTTTTAGTGTGCTGGATGTCTAACAAATGAAGTTTAACCAGCTAAAACCACATAGCTTGCCACCGAGAGCTTCCTGCTGCTTGTCCACCCTACCTGTTAGGGCTTTGGTCTGTAGGAGCTGAATGGTAAGAATTCCTGCTTCCAGTGATCAATTTAAGCATTTGCTGGAAACAGAAAAAGAAAGACAGGTTAACAACTCACGTGTAAACATGAATCAGAACTGAATAAATTCTTCTTGTTCAGTGGATTAATGTGCATGAATGAGATACGTCACTTTATCTTGCATCTGATCAAATTAGTTTTAAGGCTATGGCTGCAATCCACAAACGTGCTTTGGTACGGTTTTAAATATATCAGCTAGAAGAATGAACTCTCCTAAAATAGTGTGAAACTATTCTCAGGTGCTAGTGACTTGAGTTTCATTAATTTAAAAGTAAATGAAGTGGAGTTTTTATACAACATATAAACTGCAGCTAGCAGCCAGAACACGTAGCGACAATAATGGTTATACTTAATGTGGGTTAAAGATGAATGGAAAGATAGCTTTTTCCATTTAGGAGCAGTATGTGTCTTTGTGTTTGGACTATATAACTAAGTGCAGTTCATTGAGTCCAGAGCATAAAGAAATTGAGGAATTCTGAAGCATGTTCTGTGATTTATCATTCCTGTAGCTTAGTGGTTAGAGCACTTGCCTCACAAGCGAGAGGGCCTGGGTTCGATTCCCAGCAGGGTGAAATGTTTGGCAAGTTTCCTTACTACACACGCCTCCGTTTACCTCGCAGTAAGTAGGAACCCAGTTGCTGGACAATTGGCAGATCGCTTTTCCGGGGTAATAATTCCTTCAATATAAATAAAAATAATTTGGGTCACTCACTTCCCGACTGTGGGACACTGCTGTGTGCAATTAGCTGCTGTGTTTCTCCCACAAAATATACAGTCAATTTACTTTTCAGTATATTTTGTGAAGGGCTTTGAGACGACTAGAAAACGTGATAAGGCACTATATCAAATGCTAAGGATTATTATTATTCAGCTCCTTGGGACATCCTCCCTACGTGAAAGGCGCTATACAATGTAATTTTTTTATTATTCCTGTGTTGAACAATGGTGCGAAGCAAATTAATATTTCAGAGTCCGTTAGTGCAGTAGCTATTTCTAATCTGGTGCAGATACCAGGTGACACTTTTAGCTGATTGCAATTTAGACATTGAAAATTTGCATAACTTTACTCCACTACCATTGTATTTGGGGACTATTCCCCATTCATTTGGTGAGACTATAGGCTTCCCTATTTTGTGATCTGTTTTGTCTTCATCAGCTCCTTGAATTTCCTTTCGTTTAAATTCTCCAAGAATTATTTGAAACTATCCTTTAATGAAAGAAAATACGGAATATTCAAGCAAGTTGATCGTTATTGGAAAGAGAAAGAAGGTGTTAGCATTACTGTCGTCGTAGGATTTAAGATAGGTTTTGAAGGTTTGAAAGAGGGACATGTTAGCGGGATGGACACTGGAATGTTGACAGGGGTATGAACAGAGGAGTAGTAGTATCAGCGAAGGTCTAATGGCCGGACTGAGCTTTGGTATCCAGGGTTGCCAGGAATTAAAATACATTCGTAGCCCAAAATTCACCAAATACTAGCCCCAAAATAACCCAATATTATGTGTTGCCTCCAATGGGGAGGAGAGTGGCCAATTTAGGTCAGTGCTTTTGAAACTGTGTAACAAAAGGTTTTCAAAGGGGTGGGGTGTGTACCCGCCCAAAGCCGTGTTTTATGTACAACAACAAGATTACATTTGTATAGCACCTTTCATGTCGGGAGGACGTCCCAAGTGTACAGCATTTCAGACCCGAGCTGGGGTCAGGGGGGGAGAGGGGAGGGGAAGGGGAGGTGGCAAAACACAACAACTTGGGCAAGTTTCCTTACTCCACACGCCTCTGTTTACCTAGAGGAATGCGGTTGTTAGTCGATTGACAGATCGCTTTTTCGAGAACAATAATCCTTCAAAAAAACAATTGTAATTTGGTCACTTCAATCCACGACCATTTGTGGGACACCGCTGTGCACAATTGGCTGCTGCGTTTCACCCACAAATATACAGTCAATTCACTTTACAGTGTATTCTGTGAAGCGCTTTGAGACGTCCAGAAGACGTGAAAAGCGCTATAACAAATACAAGGATTATTATTATTATTATACTGTGGCCACTTTGCTGCTGGAGGTGACTGACCGGTGGTGACCTGCTCCCGCGCTGATTGACAGCTCCCTCCGACAGCCCCGCCCCTTCCTGACGTCAGGGGCGGGGCCCCACCGGCGTGAGTGGGGGCGCATGCGCGCTGTGGTCTCGCTGCATTCTGGGACAAGATGGCGGCGGGAGCTCCAGGTCAGTGCGAGCGGCCGGAGAGTGAGGGGCAGCGAGGACTGGACAGGGTAGTCCACACCACACACACCTCACACTGTGTGCATCCCTCCCTCCCTGTGCCGACACCTCACACTGGACCCCACCGCCCGGCACAGACACCGCCACTCCCCGTGTCCTTGAAGAGGACGAGAGGCTCCGGGCACTGAGGGGCGGGGAGGCCGCGGGGAGGCGGTTACTGGGGGGACGGGAGGGCGATGCCCGGGCGGTGGCAGTGAGCAGGAGCCCGACTGCTTCTCCCCCTCTCCCCCCCCCCAGAGCTGCCGAGACACAACTGAGAGCAGTGCCGAGCCTCCAGGTCAGCGCAGGCCGAGCTCTGACCTTCCAGGCCTGAGTGTCGGAGGCTCTGCGGCCTCGCAGTGCACTCACTGAAGCGCCGAGTGAGTGCTGCCAACTCCACCCGGTACAGCAGTGCGTTATCCTTAAAGGTCGGGACAACGTCCCAGAGCTTTACCGTGAAATGGAGTAACTGTGTTTGTGGGCGAAAGCAGCAGCCAATTTGCACACAATATGTGGTATCACTTGGTGTTGGTCAGCTATGAGGTTTGTCAATAAAATCCTTTGCAGCCAAATGAAATAAAGTGAAACTCACAAGTCAGTATGTTAGTGGACTCTTGGTTTTATGAACAGGCTGGACAGAATTTGGCATTATACCCCAATTGTATCTCTCAAAACAACTGACGTGAAAGAAGTTTCCATTCCCGTACAAAATATACAGTCAATTCACTTTACAGTCTATGTTGTGAATTGCTTTGAGACCTCTCAATGATGTGATAGGGCGCTATATCAAATGCAAATTTATTATTATCAAATACATATAGGGATTATCATTATATTTTGGGCCTTATTAATGTTTATTTCTTCTGGACCAGAAACAATAACAAGCTTGTCAGCAAATGGTTAGAAATATCACCCATATCCCCAATCCTTTCATCTTTCTTGTCTTGTATTGGATAAAACTGCCCATTACTAATCTAGATGATATTCCTTCAGTGGATGACAAGCAGTCAACTATGTAATGATGTTGAAACTCAAAAGAAAATATTGCCAAAGGTAGATCTGTGACTTTGTCATGTTGGATAGTGACATGATTTCTGTTTTTCTTTCTATTCTAGTCAGGGCCTCAGGACGTGTGTTGAGTGGCTTTCGAAAGTGGTACTACAATGCTGCTGGGTTCAACAAACTTGGTAAGTTATAGGTATTTTCTTCACAGTCATCTAACAGACAACGTTTTTTCATCTGCCCATTGTGAGTTGTTATGAGGAGATGCACACTTATTTGGTTGACTCTCCCTTCAATTTTTCTCTCACTCTGTGTGGTATTGAATGTTTTCTGGTCTTGTGTGTTGTACTGTTCTTCTCCCTTTGTTTGATTCAGAGCATTTTTAGTTTACCATTTGTATTTTTCCGTTTTTCAAGTCTTGCATGTCAGTTTTCCAACCAAAAATATTTACTCTTTATCCAGCTGGTTCACGTTTTGCTGATTATCTTTTATCGTTTTTTCTTCTCCTGCATGCTAATCCTTTGGTAGCAAAGAATTTTTAAAAAATGGGCTATTCACCCTTAGTTTTGTAGTTGTTTGAATGTGCCACTTGTGTAATAACTGCCTTAAACTATTATTTGCAGGACTGCAGCGAGATGACACAATGTATGAAGATGATGATGTGAAAGAGGCTTTAAAAAGGTTGCCTGAAAAGCTTTACCATGAACGAAACTTTCGCATAAAAAGAGCTTTGGACTTAAGTATGAAGCAACAAATCCTTCCAAAAGATAATTGGACAAAATATGAGGAGGCAAGTGGTGCACATTTCCATAATTGTGATCTAAGTTGACCAAAATGTTATGCCGACTTTTCCTTTCCCACCACGTTTAATTTTCACTAAGCCATCCAACCTTCTCTGACTGAGACTGGACAGTGCACCTAGGCACCTGGTAATGTCTTCCTAAAGCAGTGGTGGCCAACCTTAATGGTTAGTCAACAAAATACATTTTCTTGCCATAAATCGTGAAATATTCAAACAAGAAAAAAATGAAAACACACTGCCAATCAAACAAGGACTAGATTTGTGCTACCAACTCCTTTAATTTGCTTTCATCAGTGGAAATTATACATAACATGAGTACATAAAATGTGAAAGGAAAATGAAAAGATGATTAGGTCTGTATTTGTCTAATTAAAATACACAGATTGTATTGTGTATACAATTAGAATTGTCAATATTGCAAAATACTGCTCATTATCCATTTATAATGAACAATCACATTATTTTGTTTTCATAGGATTCACCCTACCTGGAACCATACCTTAAAGAAGTGATCCGTGAACGAAAAGAAAAAGCAGAGTGGAATAACAAGTGATACTGAATGGAGCTGGTAGTCTTTTTGATAATCCCTGTTAATATCTGGTCAATTGAAAAATATATATATAATTGGCTTTTATTGATAGCCTGGATTTAAAAATCACACTTGTGCACTGCAAAACTGGTTGATGTAATGGATTGCTTCTACAAATTAAAATACATTTGTTCTATCATTATTTCCTGTTGCATGTAATTATGTATAGCTTAAATAAAATAAAGTTTTGACCTTCCTGTCAATCAAGATTTGCTTTTAATAATAACAATCCTTGCATTTGATGTAGCGCTTTTCACGTCTTCTAGACGTCTCAAAGCGCTTCACAAAACAGACTAAGGTGAATTGACTGTATATTTGTGGGCGAAATGCGGCAGCCAATTGTGCACAGCAGTGTCCCACAAAAGTCGTGGATTGAAATGACCCATTTATTATTATTTTCTTTGGCGGGATTATTATTAGGCATGTGGAGTAAGGAAACTTACCCAAATTTCAACCTGCCAGGAATCGAATCCAGGTCTCTTGCTTGCAAAGCGAATGCTCTAACCACTGAGCTACAAGACTCCAATACATAGTTTTACAAAATTAAAGAAGGATTGTGTTGCAGTAATTACAATTGCAGGGCATTTGTTGAATTATTATTTAAATTCTGTACACCAGGAAAAATGTCCACATACTTAATGGGAGCTACAGTTATTTGAATAATAGACATTTTATGGTTTGCTAAACACCATACCCAAGAATTTTCAAGTTACAAGACATTTTATTTACACCACCAGCACCAGCAGAATTGTAATTATGAATATTAGTTTGCCTACATTTAAATTGCACAACAGTTCACAAAATTATAATTTGACCAATTCATTAACAATTTATTCAAGTACTGAAGATTGCTTGGCTCCCGTCAGCACCTCCATACCTCGGGTGCTGACAGCATCTCTCTTCATGGATGCACTCTGCACCTCACATAGCCAATACGGAACCTCGGTGTCTTGTTCAACCCTCAACTGTCCTTCATCCTCCATATCTGTGCCATGACCCTCCGCCTTTCCCCACGTCTGCAACATTCCCGGCTCCGGCCACTATCTCTTATCGCAGGCCTCCATGACCCTCATCCATGCATTCATCCCATCCAGGCTCAACTGTGCAAACTCCCTGCTTGTCCGCCTCCCCAACTCCTCCCTGCACAAGCTGCAGGTCATTCAGAACTCTGCAGCTCGTGTACTGTCCCGCACCAGGCTTCGGGACCACATCACTCCCACCCTCGCTCGCCTCCACTGGCTCCCCATCCCCCAGAGGATTGATTTCAAGATCCTCATCCTCACCTACAAGGCCATTCACGGCCTTGCTCCCTCCTACCTCTCCAACCTACTATCCCCCTACCTACCTGCCCGTACCCTCCGTTCCTCCGGCTCCGGTCTGCTCCACGTCCCCCGCCCCAATCGCCCTACCATTGGTGGTCGGGCCTTCAGCCTCTCAGCCCCGAGGCTCTGGAACTCTATCCCCCAGTGCCTTCGCCTTGCTTCCTCCCTCTCCTCCTTCAAGGCCGGTCTCAAAAGCTTTCTCTTTGACCGAGCCTTCAGCTCCCCTCTCGACTCTCTTCCCCCTTCTCGCTCCCTCCCATCCCTCCCCTCACCCTGACCATTTCCCCCTCCTCGCTCCCTCCCCTCCCCTCACCCTGACCATTTCCCCCCTGCTCGGGTCATGACCCAACTGTGCAGCGCCTTGGGACGTCCTCCTGACGTGAAAGGCGCTTTATAAATGGAATCTTGTTGTTGTTGTTGTTGATCGGCTCCACTGGCTTCCCATCACTCAGAGGATACAGTTCAAGATCCTGGTCTTCATCTTCAAAGCCCTCCATGGCCTTGCTCATTCCTACCTCTCTGATCTCCTAACTCTGAACCTGTCTGCTCCCTCCGCTCAGCAGACAAGGTACCTATGCCCTCTACTGGAACAAGTCCCCCGCCTTGCCTGCCTCACCATTGGTGGGAGAGCCTTCAGCCTCTTTGCCCCCACCCTCTAGAACTCCATCCCACCTTCCCTCCGCCTTGCCCCTCCCTTGCCTCCTTCAAAACCTGTCTCAAGACCCTCCTCTTCAACCGTGCTTTTGGTCTCCCTCCTACTACTGCCCTCCACCCTTCCTGATCCCAACCAGCAGCTCGAGTGTGGATCCCTGACTGTCCAGCAACTTGCGACGTCCTCCTGACATGAAAGGCGCTTTACAAATTTAATTTGTTGTTTAGCTTTTGGGTGTGGTGAATGCTGGCATCAGATTGTTAAATACTGTAACCCCTGCATGGACATTTTTCACTGTGCTTTCACCTGTATTTATGGCATTTCTCACCATAAAGTGAGATTAAGCATGTGAGCCAATTCTCAAATGAGTGGTACAATTTTCTGAGTCAGAGCTTCCTGGAGGTGATTAGCTCAATTCGTTGAATAGTATTAGGAAACGATGCCCTTCAGCTAGTCTATCTTGTTTGATCTGTGAAATATTGAACTCATTATCAGAAGGTACAACATGGGGTTTCTTATTCTGCAAGTTTTAAAACATGATAAAATAAATGTCTTGTATTTGATATAGTGCCGGTCAACTCCAGAGGACTTCTCAAAATGCTTCACGGGATTTATTGCGCTCTTTTAAGCGCTCCGGGACGTTAACCCACTCCGAGACACTACCCCCCGGGTGAAGGAGGCAATATAAATGTAAATTGTTGTTATTTTGAAATACAGTGTATTTTTTAGTTAAACCTAATGGTTTAAAATGATGAAGAATGTAGCAATGTAATGCTCAGATTAAATTTATGTGAACATTTAGGTTTGTTCCAGTAGAGGGCATAGGTACCTTGCCTCTTATTTCTGTGATTGACTCCATTAGCTTTGTAAACTATCTTATTTTAAGCCTTAACACAACAACAAATTACATTTGTATAGTGCTTTTCATGTCAGGAGGACAACCCAAAGTGTTGGACAGTCTTGAATTTGCCGACACAATCTGCCTTCACTAATTGCCTGTGAAATCCATTTGATGTATTCACCGCTCTATATGTAAGGTATTTAAATCTCAGAAAAAGCAGATGTGTCTATTTACTTTCTTCTGAGCTCAACTCTGTGTCCTATTGTAGAGCTTGCAACTGCTAGAACAACAACAAATTACATTTGCATATCGCCCTTTACGTCGGAAAGATGTCCCAGGGCAGACTGGATTTTTTCAACCCGAGAACAACCACTCTTTGTACAAACTGATTCTACAAATCTGTCTGAGCTGCTGCACAATGTGACTGGTCTAACTGTAGATAATTGAGTACTTTTAAATTGGTGATCCTGTTAAAGCCACCTCAAAAGAGGAGGAACCGAAACAGGAAGAATCCAAAACAGGAAGAATTCTCTTGGTGATTCCTTGTATCCCAACTAGATCTTCAGGTTGCAGAGTGAATTATGGTAGTATATCATTTGCCATAATCAAATGGCACAGAACATCTGTGTGGAATATTCCTTCTATTATATATTCCATACAAATGGCAGTCTGATTGCCATATGCCTATCCAACCTTTTAAGATCATCAATGAAGAGATGCAGAATGATTTAGGTTATCTCCATGGTTAATTTTGGAATCCCTACACTGATAACTATTATATACTGGAAAATATGTTCTCCGGGAGAAAGCAACTCGTGACTATAATGAAGACAAAAATAAACCATAAAATTCCTTGAAATGCTGCATGTATAACATTTGTAGAAATTATTCATTGAAACAAAGTGTCAATGATGCCCACTGTACATAAAAAGATATAAAAGTTTGGTAAAAAGCAAGGAACTGAGAGGCATAGGGCCTGATTTTTCTGCCCTGAGTACTGCATTTTGCTTCATAAGAATATCTCACTCTGGATATCTGACCTTGTGTCTTGCCAGGAAACTACCTTTCTGCCCCTCCCCCAAAACCATTTCAGACAAATGTTTTGATTTTAAATAAACTCCTACCTGCTGTCTGCTTCTCACTGCTATAATTAATAGCATACTCGATCACAGAGCTAGTTACCTTATGAAGCACCTGCAGTCTGAGAGTACTGCTGGGAAACTTGTTTCTCAACAATTCATCCAATTAAACTCATAATTAGAGGGAAAGAGGCAGTGAGTCAAAGCTCACAAGTTCCAACTGGGTTAGTTGTTTAAACTAAGTATAAGCAATAAATGTTTTAATTACATCTCATGAGCTGTCATTAGTTATATCAGTTGGCTATAACTTGTGGATTGTCTAGTTCAGATTGCTTGCCAGCAGTTATTGTGCAAAGATGGTCACTTAGACCAAAATTTCCATCAGTTAAATTAATTTCTGTGTTTCTTATGGTGCAAATTTAAGTTTAAGGCATGTGAGACAAATTACAGTAGTTCATACTGCTTCAGCTTTGCCCTGTCTGACATAATTGTATCAGTGTGAAATTATCTTTTTCAATTTTAAATTGTACATTTAAAATGTGAATATTAATCTACAGGCCAGCTTGGTATTTTTTATTTTAGTGAAGAGCTGACAACCTCACTGGCTCTCAGCTATACATAAAACTTAACCAGTAGTTGTACACAGATGGTAGAGCATAGTGACTTGGATCAATTGGGGAGAAAAGATTATGTCAAACACCCACTGCGAAAAGTATATTGAAGTGGAATGTCCAGTAGTCTTGTTAGGATGTAGTGGCTTGGCAAAGATTTACTGAATCTCATCACATAAGGTGATAATCAAAAATAGCTTGGGAACATCACTTATTGAAATCAAGGAGGGTGGAGGGACGTCATTCGGAGGGATGAGGAGCCGGTGGAGCCAGGTGAGGGTTGGTGTGATGGGGTCATGGAGGCTGGTGCAGGAGAGGACACAAGCTGCAGAGGTCTGGATGATCTTGCAGCTTTTGGAGGGAAAGGTTGGGATGGCCAACAAGCAGGGAGTTGGCATTGTTGAGCCTTCTGTTAAACTTTCTGTTAAAGAAGATTCCCTATAGAAAAAAAACTGAAGAAAGTCTTTGGTAAAAAAAATTATCTATTGTGTAAGATGTTTGCAGGCGGGTTATACATCTAATCGTTGTATTTTGGTGAATATTCTGCTCATCAAAGTGAGTGATTTCTGCACTAGGCAATTAAATGCTTTTTCAGCATTCACCTCCAAATAAAAAGTCATTGTACTCAATTGAACCCAGTTGCTAGTCAATCGGTGGATGGCTTTCCCAGGGTAATAACGCCTCGAAAAAATTTTTTT